TGCAGGAAGCCAGGAGTTGTCCCTGCTGCTCACTCGACCCCAGCAGGGAGACCCTCTGCCTATCCTAAGGTGTCCAGGCCAGGCCAGACCCACCATGCTGACTCACACCCGTCCATCAGGTAGCACTGCTTTGTCGAAGAACCCACTGGGCATGAAAGAGTTGAGCCAGCCTCCCTGAGCACCTGGTGTCTGTTAGTGCAGGGCACAGGAGGAGGCAGCACGCCAGAAGGGCCTGTCTCCAGCACCCTGGACGCAGGACTCCAGCAGCACACCTGTCCTCTTAAGAGTCCAGCTGGCCCAGGAAGGGCAAAGTTCACAAGCCCTGCTCTGCAGGCTGGAGGAGCCTGAGGCATAGCCTGGAGCACCCTCCAGCTGGGGCCTGCAGCCACTCACCTGCCTTCCACTGCCGGTCATTGTCCGTGACCATGTCCACACCACCAATGAGGTTGGCCCAGAACTCCTGCAGATTCTCCGACTCGGGCAACTTCCCCGACATTCCAGCAATCACAACCTCCTCCATGGTTCCTCTCTGTGGAGAGCCCAAGGTAGGTCAGTCCCTGCTTCAACACACACACCACCACTGCCTCAGGGGCATAACCGGCCTTGGTGAGGACCGCCCTGATCCACTGGTGGTGTGGAGTGCTGGCCTGAGCTGCTCCTCACCCTTCCTAGGGGCTTGCCTGAGGACAGGCGCTTAGAAAGCCCCACGTGGAGACCTTGATCCAGGCCCCACCCTCCCACCCTCCCCTCTCACTGGGTGGACTGGTGTTCCTGGGTCTTACTTCTGGCCTGCCACCTCAGGAGCTCTGACCCTTTCTGTGCAGAGGCCTGACCTGGGTTGACCCCCCCCAGGCTGTGCGGCCCTGATTCCCCACCCTCTGCAGTCAGCAGGAGCTGTGCAAGCTCCACCCAGGGAGGGCCAGCCAGGGCAGAAAAAGGTGGCTCTCCAGAGAGCCAGCAGGAAACCAGCGTCTGTCTGGTCAGCCAGCAAGGATGCTCATCCCAGGGCAGCATAGAAGATGTCAGGACTGGGAGGGACCCAGGGGGGACAAGCCTGGGCACTATGGGTGCCAAGACCTTGAGGAAATGGGGTGAAGGTGGCCTCTGCCAGTAGGACGGGTCTCCCAGCAGGATCCAACCTGGAGCACCACTCCTGCCAGACGCTGGGCAGGTGAGGCCTCAGGATTCTGTGCCCAGGCGAGGCAGCAGTGGGCTTTGCCAAGAATCTAAGTTCCTGAAACATCTGCCCAGGAGCCCGAAGCCAGGGGTCCAGCGCGGAGGATTTCTGCCGCCTTGAAGGCGAGGGGCCGGGCCCAAGGTAAGGAGGCAGGCCGGCTGGTCCGGCAACTTCCGCCGAGGCCTCGTGCACTCCCAGGGCCTCCCCCAGCCTCTTTCAGCCTGCGCCCCGCGCACCGCATTGGGCCCCCGGCGGGAGTGAAGGCTCCGGCGCCCGCCCTCGCCCCGTCCACGCGGGCCGCCTGCAGGCCCGCGGCGCCCTACCTCCCGCAACCCGCGGGCCACGTGACGGTAGCCAGCCGGCCGATGGGCTGGCCGCCGCCCCGTCCGCACCCTCCCGGTCCAGAGGCCCGACCCGGCGGGCTGCCCCGGGCCGCGGCCGGTGGGAGCGCGTGCCGGCCGGGCTGTGTCTTTGTGGGCGCGGAGGCCCGCGGTCGGCGCCCTCCAGGCCGCCAGGGGCCCAGGAGAGGGCCGCTGCCGTCGCCAGCCGCGCGGTCCCTGCCCGGCCGCCCGACTCCGAGCCCCGCGGAGCGCCGCGTACCTGGACCAGGCGGCGGCGGCGGCGAGCGGCAGGCGGCGGACGGTGAGCACGGCGGGAGGAGCGGAGCGGGTGCCGCTGCGGTCTCTCTGGCTCCCTCTAGGCCGCGCCGGCGCTATTTAAACCGCGGCCATCCCCGCGCGGCCACGCCACATGGGCTGACAGCTTGGCTGCGCCGCCCAGGCCAATGAGCGTCAGGGCTGCGCCCCGGGACCCGGCGCGCCGCCGTCGGTGGGGTGATGCCCGCGCGCGCCACCCCCCGCCCGGCCTGTGCGGGCGCGCTCCCCTCCGCTTCCGCCCTGGCTCCCTCCCCGCGCGGGGCACAGCGCGCGGGTCAGGCCGGCGCCCACCCCAGCGCCCCGCTCCTCCCGCCGCGTGTGCGGCACGCGCGCTAGGTGGGACAGCGTGCTTGGTTCACACTGGGACTAACCGGGGCCACGCCTGGACCGCGCCGGGCAAGCGCAGACAGCCCAACCCAAGGAACCAGCCCGCGTCCCCGGAACTCGCGCCGCCGAGACCCCGCCACAGCCGTGCGCGCGCGGAGCTGGGGGGCGTGGCCTGTGCCGCCGCGACGGCCAATCGGACGCCGGAGCCGCTCGCGTCTGTCCAATAGTGGTGCGCGAGTGGGCGTTGCTAGGTGATAGGGTGATGGACCCGCGGCTGGCCGCGCAACGCGGCGCGGGCCACAGCGCGAGCGCGGTCGTTGACCCCGGCCCAGAGCGCCGCGGGCGGGGTTACTGCCGGTCATCGCAGCGCAGGCCGCCCCGGGGCACCCATCATTCTCCCAGGAGGCCGCCCGGGGCACGGAGGCTCGGGCGTACTCCCGGCCCCGGAGCCAGCGCGGGGGCGGGGCGCGGCAGGCTGGCGAGCGGCCCGCCGGACCCCAACAGGAGTGGTGGGAACAAAGGAGCCGCGGCCCGTCTCCCGGGAGGCCGCGCGCTTCCGGCACCCTCTCTCACTCCCTAGTGACTTCTCAAAGTGTTACGGAATTTTTGGGAAAAACCAAAACAAAAAAGAGATGGCCCCAGGATTGGGGTCTCCTGAGAGTCCAGGAAGGCCGCGGCCGGCCTGGGTAGAGCAGGGGTCCCAGGGGCCAGGGAGCCCTGGCAGTCCCTGGCTGTGTTGGCCCTTGCCGGGACAGCTGCCTCACTTTCCCGAAATCACTTTCGTCGCCAGTGCGCCCTGGCAACCCCTGGAGCCTTTCATCCTCTATGTGGGCACCCGGGAGCTGTATGCAGGTGGCTCCCCAGGCACCTCCAAGGGCTCTGACTCCTGCACTTAATCCACACGTTGAGCCTCCCAGGGTCCACAAGGTGCCTAACTACTCAGAACCCCCACTTCCTATGTATAGCAGGGCATAGAACCCCAGGTCCCATGCGGATTTCTGTCCTCACTTCAGGGGCTTCACGTGGCCCCTCCCCTGATTCTCTTCTAATTTGGGGGCCATCTGGAGCCCTGAAAACCCCAGCTGTGGGTACATTGGAGACTGTCAGACTCATGCCTCCCTGGCTGCGTGCTGGCCATCCAGTGGTCAGCAGGGCTCTGCCTCTCAGCCTGCAGGTGCTCAGGTGATGGGGCTATGACCTCAGTATGGTCACACTGAACCTGAGCCTGGGCTTGTCCTCAGAAGAGGGCCACTGGGGACTCAAATCTCTGAAAGGCAGCATTACTGGCCACGTTTTCAGTCACAGCGAGTAAGAGGCAAAGCCTCACCTCAGGCATGTGTGCCCTTAAGTGGGAGCTCAGGACCCAAACCCCACCTGCCCCAGGCAAAGCTGCATTGCATCTGGCCTGTGAGAGGGCAGCATAGCTGCTGCTGCTGCTTTTTTACTGGAGGTACCCGAGACCCAGGGCCTCACAGGTGCCCGGCAAGCGCTCTACCACTAACCCACATCCCCAGCCCTTTTATTTTTATTTATTTAGTACTGGGGATTGAACTCAGAGGTGCTCCTCTACTGAGCTACATCCCCAGCCCTTTTTATTTTTGAGACAGGGTCTTGCTGTTAAGTTGCTGAGGCTGGCCTCAAACTTGCAATCTTCCACCCTCAGCCTCTGGAGCTGTGGGATCAGTGTGCACATTGCTCCTGGCAGTTTGCTGCTTCTTGGAACCCTGGGACAGCCTGCATTGCTGTGGCTCCAGGAAGCAGTGTGTGCAGGGGGATCCTTGCTGTGTGCACCTGAAGAAAGGGATGAAGCCAACAGTGAGCACACAGTGATGGAGCAGTGGTGGAGCAGCAGTGATCTGCCAGTCATTCTGACTTGGTCTTTGACCTCTCAGCCTGCATTGTGGACCACGCTGCCAGTGTGGGCTCTCCTGTGTATGGCTGCTTGTCCAACCCATACACCTGTGTGCCAGACAGGGAGAGGTCACTATCCATAGTTTACATGGGTGCGAGGCTACAAAGATCACATGGTTTGCCAAATCACACAGTAAGTTGAGGCTGGGTGCAGCCTTGCCCATGGACCTCCCACAGAAGCTGCCTGCTTGGTTCAGAAGGGGCAAGGCTGCTGAAGAGCACCCCGCGAGGCCCAGGATGAGGCCACAGCCTCATGAGCTCTGCTATGGGTAGGGCATGGCCAGGCCCAGACACCAGGGGAGAAAGGGCCAAGGGATCTGGGAGAGTGGGAGTGGGACAGGCCCCTAACACTCTGCATGGTTGTGGCCACTGTCCTGGCCACAGAATGAGTCTGCGTGGCAGCAGGCCGGAGTGATGCTGGGCCAGGGTGTTTGGTGGGAGTGTGTGTTCCTATGGCTCTTGGAGTAATAGAGTGGACACGAGTGTCTCATCCTTGGCCATGGCCAGATCCAAACATCCCACTGGACAGAAGGCTTTGCTACTGTCCAATGTGGGGTAACCCACTGTGTTTGGGGTACCTCCCCCACCCAGCAGTATGCCGAGTGAACACCCCAGCATTCATGAAAGGGGACCATCTGGGCCCCAGGTTCAGGCTCACTTGGGTGTTCTCCAAACCCCTTTGGAGGGGTCCTTTCAGGGGGGCCCCTGGCATGGCACTCACTGGGGGCTGGCTTGCTTTTCTGGTGAGTGTTCTGCTCTGCACCCCACTGGGCTTTGGGGAGGGCCCCATGGTCTGCGACATGGCCAGCGTACTGGTGGCTGTGGGTCGTGCGTGACACATGCAGGTGACAGAGGCCAGGCCAGACTCTGGCACGTGCACTAATATTTCTCAAGGAGGACAGACAGACAACTCTGCCAGCGGAGCAGTGTGGGAGGGAGGCACGGGAGCTTTAATGGCTCAGAGGCCAACTCGGTGGTCCTAGGAAGCCCACCTTGTAGCTCACAGCTCCTCCACCACGTGCCACCTGCAGCACCCACGTGACATGTAGGTGAATGGGCAGGCCCCAAGCACCCACAGGGAGGCTGTGGTGGGGCCCACTTTGTAGGGGGCCGAGGAAGTCAGTCTTTCCAGTTGTAGTTGCGGATCCTGGGGGGCTGCTGGCAGCTTTTAGATCTTGCAGGATGAGACTTGGAGAGTCTGGTGGGCTTGGCCTTTGACTGAGCTGCCGTCTTCATCCCTTTGATGGTAAAGGCCACCTGCATCTTGGCAGGGCTCCTGTCACCTTCCTGGGGACTGTGGGCAGCTGGCGATGCAGGCAGCTCTACAGGTAAAGAGGAGCAAACAGGCCCAGGTCAGGAGTGCAGAAAGGGGGCAGAGACATGAGCCTGCCCAGAGCCAGTACCCAGAGCCAGTACCCAGAGCCAGCCTCCGAGTGCAGAGGGAGTCGTTCTGCTCGCTGGTCTGCAGGTCTGGGCCACCCCTCACCCTGGCTCTTTTTGAAGGTGCTTGTGCAAGCCAGGTTGCCCTTCTGAGTGACCTTGCCATGCTCAGTGGTAGCATGTTCTGGGGTTCTGGCTGGTGCAAACACAGGTCTGTGTGGACAGGATCTCCACAGGGTCTGGGCCTGCCCCTCCACTGGGCGCCAGGATATGTAGCTCTGACAAAGGTACTGTTCTGTGGTGACAAGCTCCTGAGAGGGAGGATTGGGGGATTAATGCTGGTTCTTAGCCCCACCACCCTCCGAGGCACATGCTCTGCCCTGTGCCTCCCTGGTAAGCCTGCAGAGAGGCTATGCTCACTGGGCACTTCTGACCACCCAGCAGCCCCAAAACAGGAGGCCAGGCAGAGACCAAGGGCCTGGGAGCCTCATCACACACATACGCAATGGCATCCCTTCCTCAGGCACATACAGGTAGTGGTCGTCTTTTTTTTTTTTGGTGGTAACAGGAGATAGAACCTAGGACCTGTCACATACTGGGCAAGCTGTCTACCAGCTAGCACTCACAGGTCAACTTTATCTTTGCAGTTTTTCTGTATTTTCTTAGTTTTTGAATAAAAAAAAATATATATATTTCTTAGCAGGCATGGTGGTGGACGCCTATAATCCCAGCTACTTGGGAGGCTGAGGCAGGAGGACTGCAAGTTCCAGGCTGGCCTGAGACACTTAGGGAGACCCTATCTCAAAATAAAAAAAAAAAAAAAGTTAAAACAGGGCTGGGAATGTAGCTCAGTGGTAAAGTTCCTGGGTTCAATCCACAGTTCCAGATTTTTTTTTTTTTCTTTTGTATATCATCAACCACAATGTTGTTAAAAGCCTGTGGTCAGGTGAGTGCAGGACGGGACCCCTCCCTGGAGGGCTAGCAGAGGCGGAGGCTGCTGCATTTTAAAGCATGATTGTGCAGTTTGGGGTCATGCCCACCAGCCTCCACTCAGCGCCTCAGCATGTGCAGTGGCTTGGGGTAACTTGCAGGGTCTGTCCACTGCGGGTCCACCTCCTCTGTGGCTGCTGGGGACAGGGGTCTGGAGAACCCAGCATTCACTGAGGGAGGCACCAGTGGGCACTGGGTGAGGGCCAGCAGCAGCTGCACAGCCTCCAGCTGAAGTCCCTGCCTGTGCAGGCTGAGGTGAGACCGCGACTGGAGTGGTGTGCGAGCTCTGGTCCCAGTGAAGCTGATGCATGGGAGCCGTCCCGCCCCTGCCTGGCCTCCTCTCATCCTGGGCTCATTCGGCCTCCCTGACCTCATGGGGACACACCCTCTGGCCCCTAGCTCTGCCCTCCTGTGCCTCCGGGGCCTACAGAGCCCGGGGGGGCCTGGCGCCCTCCCACTGCCGCCGCTGCATCTTGTCAGCAGAAGGCCACCGAGAACGACACTGCCCACCTTTGGTTTCCCCACCCCAGCACAACCCTCCTTGACACGAAGACACTGCCACCCCCATGTCTCCTACAGCAGACCAGCTGTCCTCTGGCCCTGCCCTGCCCTCTGCCCACAGAGCCTCCTAGAAGCAGCAGCCTGGAGGAGGGTTGGTCACATCTGGAGTGCAGGGGTGTGACTCTGGGGGTCTCCTCATACTCAGTAGCCTTGGTTGTCCTTCCCTGTGACACAGGGACTGGTCCTCCCAGGGATTCTGTGGGCTTTATCTGGCCAGCCCTTGTGAGACAACATCTGGTTAGAGTTCTGAGAGTGAGCTTTAGGGAGACCAGCCAACCCAGGCCACCAGCCCCTCCACGTGGGGCCCAGCTGATGCCGAAGGGCAAGAGAACTCGTCCTGCCCACCCAGGACTCTTGCTGCCCACGTGGGACAGGCAGGGGCAGGTGACAGGGCGGGGAACAGCTGAGTGTAACTGGTGGCAATAGCAGGAGCTGGTCACAGTCAAACCCAAGGTCAGGCAGGTGGACGCTGACCCACCCCTGAGCCGGCCTGGCTAGAGGGACCTGCCTCGTGGTCTCGGGGTCTGTCCTGGACCTCTCTTTGCAGAGCCCTCCGTATGGGAGCAAGGCAGGGAACCGGGGCTCTCAGGACTCCAGAGCGGGGACAGCCTCAGCCTGTACCCTCCCAAGGCCTGTGTCCTGCAACCCTGATGCTGACCTGGTCTCTGCCAGCCCTTGGCTTGCTCCTTACCCCACCCAGCACACTGGGGACTCTTTCCGCAGTGGCCGGAGTAGGTCTTTGAGACTTATCTGGACTCATACATGTTGGGCCCAGGACCTGCATACGGCTTCTGGAGAGGCTGGGAGCCCTCAGCCTCGACTGAGAATGAGATTGGAGCCTCCTGGGCTTCAGTCCTTAGGGTCTCATGCGTGCAGGGTGAGACTGCAGTGAGAGGATCCCTGTCTCCAGGCTGCACTGAGGTTGGCGCCTACAGGGATCTGTGGAGGAGGGTTGGTCACATCTGGAGTGCAGTGGGGCCTGCCTCCTGTCACCCTGGGACACCAGGGGTCTCTGAGCACCTAGGTGCAGCACCTACCCAGCTTTCTGGCCCTGGGTGGGTTTCTCTGCACAGAGCCTCCCTCCAAGGCTGCCTGGCTGTAGGCATGAGCTCCTGTCCCTGATGGTCTTGGTGACACCGGGCACATGCTACCTGGGCTACTGAGAAGGGCTGGACAGTGCTGCCTGTCCAGCTCTCCAGAGCTAGCCTCAGGGCTGGGGAGGGGCCCTGTAGTTCAGGAGTCAGACCAAGTTGTGGCCCTGGGCACAGGTCACAGAAGCCTTTCTAACTCACAGTAGCCTCAGCTGGTCTGACCAGTCAGGTTTCTGTGGGCTTAGCTGCTGACCTGTGTGCTGAGGCCTCTCCTGTTCCCATGGGCACCCTTTCATACCCAAGCTGGACACCAAGCCTCCTGGCAGCTTGTCCCAACCTGCTATTCCATTAAGGCTGGTGCGGCAGGTTAATCTGCCTCAGGTTATGCCTGCTTCAAAGCTTTGCAGGACCTCAGTGTGGGCTGACTGGTGGATGTGGACGGTGATTGCGACCCTGCTCCTCCACCCCTGGCCCTGTGTCTCCAGAAGCTGAAGGCACAGGACCCCACACTGTGGTGATCGAAGGCAGCAAGAGCCCAGCATCCCTGCTCTTCCTCAGCCACCGGCCCGGGGAGCTCTGCCCGAGATAGCCCACGAGTAGCCCATGGCCTGGGGCTGCACTCCAGGCCTGCTGGACACCAGAAGCAGGACAGAAGCTTGACTGGTGCCTTCCTGGTGATGGGCCCAAGGGAGGCAGCCCAGCCTGGCCTTTCTCTAACTCAGCACCAGGGTGAGGGTCGGCAGGACCAAGGCAGATGGTGAGAGCTGTCAGAGAAGTGGGCCCAAGAGGTGGTCTGAGAGCCGGACAGCCTCTGGACCCCCCTAGGAGGGCAAAGGTGGCAGCGGGCAAGGAGGCCTGTGGCTCTGGAGGGGAGCAAGGCGCAGAGGCCAGGCTGGGGTCAAGGCAGGCAGGAGCTGTTGCTTGCCCTTCAGAGGCCTGTGAACTGGCTTCGGAATCCTAGACAGTGGCTCTGGCTTCACGCCAGGACTCTGAACCAGGGGCCCAGGTGCTGGGCTCTGTTCAGGTGGTCCATGGCGCCTAGTGCCCCAGTGAGCCAGCGGGTATGGGCGATGCTTCTAGATTAAACTCAAGAAGAGGAACTTCCACAGGGTCTACCTGCCAGATCATGGCTCCCACTAGGCTCCCTGATACCCTGAGCCACAGACCACACAGCCTGGCTGGCCAGGGGCCGTGGGGCCTCAGTGAAGGCTACACAAAGAGCCAGGCCCTCACTGCCTGCCTCTTGCCCCTGCTGTGGCATCGTGGGAGAGCTCGCTCTGCTCTCCTGACCAGGGTCAACTGTCCTTATCTACTGGTATGTGGCCACTGTTGGGGAGCTGCCCACTGGCCATGCTGTCACAGGCTGCCCAGTTGCTCAAGACACTGTGGGTCATGGACCAGGCCAAAGGCCTCCCCTGGAATGCTCTGGAGATGTGGCTGATGGCCCTTGGACCCCAAGGCTGCTGTCTGTCTCTCTGGAAGGAGAGGTCAGGGGTGGCATGCGGGAAGCATGCGCAGGGCAGGTTGGCAAGGCCAGGCCTGCAGCCAGCACTGAGGGCTGCCCACGGGACACCCGGCTGGGGGTGAGGCTCCTAGCTCTCTGCGACCTCCCTGCTGCCTCTTCTAGTCTGACTGCAGTCTCAGCGCACAGGCGGGCTGGGAGGGGCAGAGACCCCACGAACACCAAGTACAGGTGAGTTCAGTGGATGCGCAGACGTGGCCCAGAAAGCCCACGCTGACCCAGCCTGGTGCTCAGCACTCAGTGCGGCCTATAGGAAGGGGTGGATGGAGTTGTTCTGCAAGTTCCAGGGCCAGTGGGCCCTGCTGGGATAGTTGGGAGGCTGGGCCCTGAGGCCCAGGTCTGGGTGGAGGTGGACAGTGTTTGATACCGCCTTCCAGTGGCTTGGAGAAGATATGGGAACCAACACTTGGGTTCTACGTCAGCCAGCATATCTGTCTGGAGCCAGGCCTGGGCTGGAGGTCAGCCCTCTCACCTCCTGCTGCACCAGACAGGTGCTCAGGATGGACGCTTCCAATACGCACCCCTACAGAGCAGGAGTTGGCTGTGGGACCTGAGTCACTGAGTCACTGAGACTTCTTCAGGTCTGGGAAGGGTCAATGCCTGCATTTCAGGGATGAGGGTCACATCAGAAAAGGCTTCTGTGTCCCCTGGGGAGCCCAGCTATTCCTGGGGAAGGCCAGTCTGACCTGCAGCCCTCCCCCCATGAGCCTCCTGGCTTCTGTCCTTATTGGTTTGGGACACAGCATGCTACAGCAGGGAGCCATTTCCATGTTCTAAGTCAGAGGCCACTTTCCTAGCCAAATTCCTCGACTTTGGGACACTGAGGGAGCACAGGGCCAAGAGAAGCAGCTGCAGCCCCTTTGGCAGGTGTTAAGGCCCTTGGTCAGGCCCCTGGGCCCTGAAAGGGACCACACCTGCCGGCCTTCTGACGTGGCCCCACGCACCCACACGGGGCATCCTATGGCGGATAGCTGGGCTGCTCCTGCTTATCCGAAGGGTCTTTGCTGCCAGCAGGGAGGTTCGGCCCTGGTCCCAGCTGGCGCCTGGACTGTGCAGCTTTCAGCAGGAGCTATGGCAACAGTGTGAGCCCCAGGTGTGCCATCTCCCCGGGTTAATGCAGAGTGTCAGAGTGGACGGCATCCCAGGGGGGCGAGGGTAGCACCTTCCATCCACAAGGGCCAAACACAAACATTCAGAAGGTGCCAGAAACACGCCCCTCCCTCGAGCCCCCAGTGTCAGTTCTGACTGGGCCATGACTATGCAAACATGGCACCATCCCCACTAGGCCAAGTAGCTCTGAAACTCAGTTGGGACAGTTGAAATTCCCTAATCTCGTTAGGCCCGGTGGCGCATGCCTTAACCCCAGTGGCTCTGGAGGCCGAGACAGGAGGATCACAAGTTTAAAGCCAGCCTTAGCAATGGCGAGGTGCTAAGCAACTCAGTGAGACCCTGTCTCTAAATAAAATACAAAATAGGGCTGGGGATGCGGTTCAGGAGTCAAGTGCCCCTGAGCTCAATCCCTGGTACCCCCCACCAAAAAAAGAAATCCCCTGTTTCTATAACCAAAAGAGTAAGATGCCTCACTGGAGGCCCCCACCAATGTGTCCAGGGGCCCCTGAGAATAGTGGGCTCCTGTTTCCTGACTGTACATGACAGAGGATTGGGGAGGCTCTGCCCTGAGCAGCAGGCGTGCCAGGGGTGTGCAAAGTAGGTGTGCTTCCTCCTGTTTGCACTCTGCCTCTTTCAGGGCAGATGGTGGTCTCAACCCAAACCCGTCTATACCTTCACACTGAGCTGTGTTGGGCGGGGGCCTCCCAGTACCTGTCGGACCAGCACAGTGTCTTGGACCAAGATGGAAGCTCTAGGTTGGTTTCAGGGCCACACTGAACATACTCAGCAGGAAGCCTTGAAGCTAGGAAAGGAGTTTTCAAGGGACTGTCCATTCCTCTCTGTTCCTGTTATCCAGAAAGGTACAAGGGTAGAAACTGGCCAGTTAACTTCATGAAGCAATTTTGCTTCCCAAACCAGACAAGAACACAAGAAGAGAGAATTACAAGCCTACCTAATTATAGGTAGCTGAAACCATGTATAAAGCAAGAGCGAATCAAATCAAATGGTATTTTAAAAACACATCATTAGCAAGTAAACTTCACCCCAGTAACGCAAGGCTGGTTCAACAGCACGTACTAGGATTCACTGTGTTGATAAATGAGAAGTAACAAACAAATCACGTTATTTTAATGCAGAAAAATAGTATATAAGGTTTAACACATGTCTATAATGAACTTTTGGTAATTCAGGGCTATAAAAGAATTTTTCTATTTTCTTTTGGTTCTAGGGTTGGAACCCATGGTCCTGTGCATGCTAAGCACAAGCTCTAACACTGAGCTACATACCCCACCAAGAGACTCTCCTAACTGGATAAATGCCCCATTGAGAAAGCACACAGTTCATCATATTTAGTGAAGAAACTTCAGCCTCATCCCCTTCGAGTTAGGGAAGGAGACAAGATGGCCACTGTGATCACTCCTATTGTGGAGGTTCTAGGGGTCCAGGTCACTCCAAAAGGAAAGAGAAAGAAGTGAGTTAAGGCTTAGAAGAAGAAATACATGGCGGTAACAACCATCTGCTCAGCATGACAAGAAGCAAGGACAGACTGCTGACGGTGATACGGAAGCTCAGCAAGGTGAGCGACAGTCTCTAACTGCAGGGTACCCAGAGACACCAGAGACAGCAAGAGACTCCAAACCAGCCTGTGGCCCAGTGTGGCCCAGTGTGTGGGGACAGAAGCCACACCAGTGCGTACTGTGGCGCCCAGGCCTGGATGGAGACACCTGGTTTCAAGGGAGGCTCGGGCCACCAGCCACCTGCAGGCCGTGCTTCCTCAGGTAGTAGGCCTCCAAGACCAGCAGCCTCTCAGGAAGAAACCAAGTGGGTTTGTCCCCCACACTGATTTAAAGAGCTCATGTCCCATCTGTCTTTCTCTCGCTCCCTGTCTGGTGCAGGAGGTTGAACTCAGGGCTTCTCACATGCTAGGCAAGTGCTCTACTACGCCCACAACTAAGTGGTCCAGGTTGGCCTTGAACCTGGGGTTCTCCAGCCTCAGCCTGCAGAGTCACTGGGATCGCAGGTGTGGGTCTCCTGTGCAGACCTGAAATGGAGGCAGCTGGGAGGCGGCACTGTCCCTGCACACGGCCCCTGGGGCTGCCCAGGCACTCCCGGGAAGACTCCCTCTGCAGTCATGACTTCCCTTGGGCTTCCCTAAGTGCCACAGGGCAGAAGAATTAAGAGGCCTCCCGGGACCTGAGAGGATCTGTGATGGACCCAGACCTCCCACTGAGAACTGCCAGTGGGTGAGCCCAGGGGACCGCCTGGGCAAAGCCTGGACTAGGACTGCTGCTCGGGGAGCGTCAGGGGCCGCCAAGCACCTGTGCCTTTAAGGACACTTTGCTGAGGAGTACTTTCCCTCCGCTGGCTTAGAGAGTGCCTGTGCAGAGCTTCGCGCTACTTCTTGGGTGTTTTGAGGTGTGCATTTCTTATTTAGTCTGAGCACAAGAACCTAGTGTGCATTCAGACAGTTCCCCTTAGACGGTGGCTTGTCTTCTCCTCTCCTGGACGCATCATTTCTAGGGAGAGCTTTAACTTCTTTTTATCTTTGTTTTCCGCACTGGGAATTGAACCCAGGCAGCTGGCCTCCACCACTGGGCCACACCCCCAGCCCCCCCCCCTTTTTTTTTTCATTTTGAGACAGGGCCTGGCTCAGTCTCTGCAGCCTGACCTCGCAGCCTCCTGCCTCTGCCTCCTGAGCTGGGATCGCAGTCCTGCCACCCTGCGACTCCCCCTCTTTTGTTTGCTTTACTTTATGGAAGTGGCGGGGAAGGTGGGGTGGAAGCTGTCCAGTAGGCACCAGCCTTCCGTGGCCAGGATGTGCGCTGCAGGTGCCACCGAGTGCCCTCTGCCTGTTCAAAGCTCCCTTCTAGGGCTGGGGCGGGGCTCAGTGGTGGAGCGCTCGCCTCGAACACATGAGGCCCTGGGTTCGATCCTCAGCACCAAACAAAAATAAATAAAAATAAAGGCATGTGTCTGTCTATAACTAAGAATATTTTTAAAAGAAATAAGGAAAAGATCCCTTCTAGTCCTGATTTTCTGGGAGTTGTTTTGGTTTTTGTTTAAATCATGAATGCCTGTGATGTGATACATAATAAATATATAGATTGATCTTTGCCCCTATTTCCTGCCATATAATCGCTACTGCCCGTTCAAGTTCAACTGTCCCCCAGTGTCTACAGGGGTCGGTTTCAGGACACCCCTGCTGTGTCCCCAGGCCAAATGAGCTGCAAGTCCTTACATTTGCACATGATTTAGGCAATCCTCTCTGGGGACTGTAAATCATTTCTAGATTGGTTCAGTACTCATACAAATGCTGTGTCCACAGACAGTAATTACACCACACTGTCGAGGGGAGAAGTCTACACATTCAGTACATAGATGCCATCAACAACCAACTTCTAGTGGCACACGCCTGTATTCCAGCTGCTTGGGAGGCTGAGGCAGGAGGATCGCAAGTTCAAACCCAGCCTCAGCAACTGTGAGGCGCTAAGCAACTCAGTGAGACCCTGTCTCTAAATAAAATACAAAATAGGGTGGGGATGTGGCTCAGTGGTTGAGTGCCCCCGAGTTCAATCTCTGGTACCAAAAAAACAAAAACAAAACAAAGAACAAGGGCTGGGGATGTGGCTCAAGCGGTAGCGCGCTCGCCTGGCATGCGTGCGGCCGGGGTTCGATCCTCAGCGCCACGTACAAACAAGGATGTTGTGTCCGCCAAAAACTAAAAAATAAATAAATATTAAAAAAAAAACAAAGAACAAACTTCTGATCCCCAGTTGGCTGAATTCAGAGATGCAGAACTCAGCACAGGGTGTGGAGGGGACAGGGAGGAGCCTCTTGTTCTTCACAGGGAGCCCCTTTTCCACCACACCTGCATGTCAGTGAGGGGACCGCAACCCAGGGATAGCCCTAGTCAACACTGCTCCTCAGGGAGCCTCCGAGGCAACCCAGGAGGAAGGGGCTGGAACCTGGGGCGCTGGGCTGAGTGGGCTGCCCAGGCCAGAAGCCGCAGCCCTCCCCACACCTGGACCTGGGCCTCCTTCCATCTGGCCCTCCTGAGATGCGTCCTTTGTGATAAAAGGGCAGTAAGGTAAGGGGGTTCTGGGAGCCCTTTGAGTCAGGGTGGGTGGCTAGCGGCACAGCGACCACCAGGACGTGGCGTGGTGTCTGAGGAGGACGGAGCCCCCAGCCTGCGGGCTCAGTCCTTCTACAGGAAGCTGGCATCCAAACGGAGTGGAACTGTGGGACCGGCTGTGTCCTCCGAGAATCAAGGCCTGCTTGGGGTGGGAAATGCACACCGAGGGCCTGGGGCGTGGCTCAGGGGCACAGTGCTCACCTGGCGTGTATGAGGCCTGGGGTCCCATCCCCAGCACCATAACAAGGCCGTATGCCTGGGTGAGGGAGGGGAGTGGGGTCGCTGCAGAGAGGTGCCGGGCGCCCCTGCAGCTGGCGCAGGGCAGTGGGAGCAGAGTGGGAGACCGCCTGTGCCCCTGCCGAGCTCGGTCCTGAGGACTCCCGTGTGGTGTCCTCCTCCTGCTGGTGCCCCCAACCTCCACTCTGGTGTCACAGGCCCTGAGGAACTGTCCCCTTCACAGTGCTGGCTCTGGTCTCCTCACCTGTCTGCATTTGTGTGCGGGGGATGTGGCAGGCCAGGTCCCCTGCTGAGCCACCTCCGAGCCCTGAGGTCTCAATAGTTCATGGATTTTGTGGGTCTCTGCCCATGAGAGACACTGGTTCACAGTTTTCTTGTGATGTTTTTGTTTGGTCCTGGTCAGGGTCATGCCGGCCTCAGAAAATGAGTTACAACATCTTTCCATCCTTCCGTTTTTAAAAATGAATCTCTGTGGCATTAATGTCATCTCTTGATTTTCTTGGTGGGGGGAACCAGGGATTAGACCCAAGGGTGTTGCTCCATCACTGAGCCACATCCCATTCCTTCATTTATTTCTCATTTTGAGACAGGGTCTCACTAACTTGCTTGGGGCCTCGCTAAGTTGCTGAGGCTGGCCTTGAACTGTTGATCCCCTGCTCAGCCTCCAAGCCTGGGGGACCACAGTTTGCACCACTGCCTGGCCGTCTCTTCTTGCAATTTCAGCTCTTTGGAATTTACCAAGAGCTGTGTGTGGCCCAGTGTCCCGGGGCACCTGGGAAGAACATGTGTTCTGCTGCTGCGGAACTCGGGGCTCAGTGCTCCTCAGGCAGGGCGAGGTGGCCAAGAGCGTCAGAAAGCAAGACTACGGTCAGCTGGTCCACTTCAGATCCCAACTGGGTTTGCTTTCAGGCCACACATAGTTCCATAAAATAGAGTAAGTGTTCCAAGGACACAGCAGAAGTTGGCTCTACAGACAGGAAAAAGCCAAGGAAAGTGGAAACAAAAAGCAAAACGAGCATCTCACAGTTACCTTCCTGGTGAGGAGCCACAACAACAGAAAATAACTGATTGTGAACGTTGGGCTACTTTGGGTTGACTTCTACGTGAAAGGGTCATGCCCCTCCCAGCTGCCCGTGTGGGAAACTGGGCTGCTGCGGGCTGATTGTGGTTCTGTGTGAAGGTCAGGCCAGCCTCCTGCTCAGGTTTAGGCTGGACTTGGAACTTCAGCAGGAGCTACCCGTTTTGATGCTCAGCCTGTTCTGATTGGCCCAGTGCATCTGAACAGAAACCAGCGGTGCCCAAATCTCCCACAGACCTGTCTGCTTGTCTGTCACCTGGAGATGGACGAGAATGGAGGTCTCCGCCTCCCTGCGGTTCTGAGTGTTTACTTCCCGTGCTCCTGGCCCGGTTGTCAGGACCCCGCTGTGCTGCTGTGGCCTCCCACTCCTGAGCAGGAACCTCCCTCCCGCCTCAGCCTCGGGCCCGGACACAGGTGTGTGCCGCATCCCTCTCAGACCTGAAGGGGCTATAGTGCTGCAGTGCTGGGGTGGAGCCCAGGGCGCGCGGCACGCTGGGCCAGCTTCAGCCCCTAGCTCGGCCTGGCCCAAGCGTGCTCTTGAGCCCAGGACACGGTTGAGTCTTGCCTTTTTCTTCCAGTCTGCTAACGAGTGGCCATGATGCTTATTGTACTTAATTTCTTATTTATCTGCAGTACTGGGGATTGAACCCAGGATGCTCTAACCTGAGCATATCCCCAGCTCTTTTTATTTTTTAGTTTTTAAATCAATCATTTTTTTGGTTCTAGGGATTGAACCAGGAACACTTACCCACTGAGCCCATTTTATTTTGAGACAGGATCTCGCTAAGTTGTACAGGCTTCATTTGCTGAGGTTGGCTTTGAACTTGCGGCATTCCTGACTCCGCCTCCCTCCCTCCCTCCCTCCCTCCCTCCCTCCCTTCCTTCGCAGGTCTGGTGAATTGCCTGGGCTGGTCTTATGATCCTCCTGCCTCAGCCTTGCAAGCCGCTGGGATCGCTGGCAAGTGCTGTGCCCCTGAGCTACATCCACAGAACCACTGGCCAGGTTCTATGCTGTCCTCAACATCAGGTGGCAGTCAGATGTTTGTGGGCCAGGGGCTCAAGAAATACTCAGTGCAGGGCTGTGGCTGTGGCTGAGCAGTAGAGCGCTCACCTAGCACATGTGAGGCCCTGGGTTCCATCCTCAGCACCACATAGAATAAATAAATAAATAAAGGTGTTGTGTCCATCGACACATTCAGTGCAGAGCACATCAGTAAAGAGTAGCCCCGCCTCAGGGTCGTTCACAGAGGAACTGAGGACAGCTGCTTTGGGACCCTGCCTGTCTTAGTCCTGTAGACTGCTCAGCAGGAAGAAGACAGATAAATTCAAGGGAGGCCAAGGATGTGTCTGCTCAAGCGGGCCGGGCTGCCACACCATGTTAGGCAAGACCCCACCAAACGACCCAGACCGAGATCCCCAGACCAGGGAAGCAGGAGGGCTGAGACCAGAGCCCACCACCACAGACCCTGGGAAGCCAGCTCCGCTGGGGGTCTGCTGCCAGGCCAAGACGGCCATGAGAAGCCCTCAGGTAGTCGGCTAGTGTAGACGGTCAGCCCAAGTCCAGAGGGGACACTGGGAGAGACCTCCTGACAATCTCCCCCTGAGAGCTTGGCCTTTCTCCTGAGAAGGCTCCCTTCCTTCCCTCCTGATGGACTCTGAGTCTCCCCCGGTGCTGGGCCCTCTCTCACGAAGATACAAAAACCACCAGTACCACCCCAGGACCCTCCCGGGCTCCCCCTCCTTATCATCCGGGTTTCCTGTTTTTTCTTCTTTCTTTTGTTAATACCACCCAATGAGTTTTTCTTATCAAATATCACATTTTAAAAAAATCTCTAGGGCTGGGGCTGTAGCTCATTGATAGAGCACCTGCCTCGCACGTGTGAGCCATTGGGTTTGATCCTCAGCACCACATAAAAATAAATAAAGATACTGTGTCAATCTACAACCAAAAAAAATTTACTAAAACAACAACAACAACAAAACCCCACAAACCTCTAGAGTTGGTGCACCGTGGCGCACACCTGTAATCCCAGTGGCTCAGGAGGCGGAGGCAGGAGGATCGCAAGTTCAAAGCCAGCCTCAGTAATTTAGTGAGATGCTAAGCACCTCAGTGAGACCCTGTCTCTAAAAAAATACAAAACAGGGCTGGGACGTGGCTCAGTGGTCGAGTGCCCCTGAGTTGAATCCCTGGTACCTCCCCCGCCTCAAAAAAAAGTCACTAGAAGTTATTTTTTTGGCGTACTGGGTGCTCTGCCACTGAGCTGCATCCCAGGCTCTCACAAGTTGCTGGGGCTGACCTTGAAGGTGTGATTCTCCTGCTCTGGCCGACCCGCGGGATTCCAGGAGTGCACCGCATGCCGTCCTTGATTGCTCGTCTGACAGCACGGTCAACGCTCTTCTCGTCACTCACGTTCATTTTCTTCTTTTTTTTTTTTTAATATTTATTATTTATTTATTTTTTAGTTTTCAGCAGACACAACATCTTTGTTTGTATGTGGTGCTGAGGATCGAACCCGGGCCGCACGCATGCCAGGCGAGCGCCCTACTGCTTGAGCCACATCCCCAGCCCCTCATTTTCTTCTAAATACATTAACACACAGTTCTTTCTCCTGTTTCTGTCACCAATGATCACCTCTTGCCTTTCGAGACTGCATTTCCTGCCCTCTGGGTCTTCTGTGGTCTAGATGCTGCTGGGCACCTGTCCCTCTGCTGGCCTGCATCCTGGAGCCGGGCTCCTGCAGTCCACCCATCTTCCCTCCCACCGAGGACGGCAGGCCTATGCTACCTGTGTCCAGCTTTTTAGTTGCACATGGGGAACCACAGCCTGGCAGAAGCAGAAAGGCGTGGAGCCCGTCCATGTTCCCAGGACAAACACCACTAGAAAGCAGGCCGCGGGGGTGGGGGGTTCTTCACCTATTTGCTTTGCTTTAAAAGTCACTTCAACGTGGGTTACTTTCCTGAGTGGAGTAACAATTTCGAAAGAGCTACTTGGGCATCCGTTTCCCGATTCCTGAACCTTAAAGGGTCCTCGGCACTTGTTAGGGCGAGTCAGGCCAACTGGGGAGGCCACACCTGTACCCCAGTGACTTGGGAAGCCACGGCAGGAGCACTGTGAGTTTGAGGCCAGACTCAGCAACTTGCCAAGAGCCTGTCTCAAAAAGTTAAGAGCACTGGGTGCAGCTCAGTGGCAGAGAAGCTGCCACAGAGAAAGATGAGTCAGCAAGGCACCGGCAGACGGAGGTCGCCCACCCCAGCCAGGGCGATGACCACCACGCTGTTCCCTCATTTCCCCAGCTGCGGTCAGCTGTGCCCACGGCTTCGGAGGTCACAGATGAGAGGTGAGTGACTCTGGGAGTCAGAGCAGGACAGCCTCGCCTGCGGGGCTGCTGGGAGGACAGCCGGGAGAGCTGCCCTGGGTCCACACGAGGAGGGCCCGCTGAGCCCCCCTCTCCCTCCCGAGGCTAAGGCTTTTCTTGCCGCCCATCTCCCCTGGCCCTGGGAGCCCAGTGTCAGCTTCTAGCTCCAGCGCCTCAGGCTGAGGGGAATCCTGTGGCCAGTGCCGGGGGTGGGGGGGTGGGGGGGGGTGTGTGCAGGCGGCGCAGGCACTGCGCTCTGGGTGCCTTAATAGCACCACCAACGGTCCTCGGAGGGCACCCCAAGTCTTTATCTTCTCTCTCTCTAGGGGTGCTCCATCACTGAGCTACACCCCAGCGGGGCTGGCCTTGAAACCCGTGATCCTCCTGCGTCTGCCTCCCAAATCGCTGGGATTACAGGCCTGCACCACCAGACCACCCTCAGCTTGTGCAACCTTTTTAAAATAAGTTTTTCTTCATGGAAAAGCTAATACTCCCCCCCCCCCTTTTCTTGGTACTGGGGATTGGACCTGGGGTGCTCTACCACTGAGCTACACCCAACCCTCTTTATTGTTCAGAGACAAGACAGGATCTCACTAAATCGCCCAGGAGCCTTGAATCTGCAACTTTTTGGCTTCAGCCTCCCCAAACACTGGGATCACAGGCGTGTAATCCTGCTGCCCGACTAGTGTGATCTACACTGGGATCACAGGCATGTGATCCTGCTGCCCGACTAGTGTGATCTACACTGGGATCACAGGCGTGTGATCCTGCTGCCCGACTAGTGTGATTTTCCAAAGAACAAAACTAAACATTAGGAGACTGGGGTTGTGGCTCAGCAGTGGATCACTTGCCTTGCATGTGTGAGGCACTGGATTCGAATCTCAGCACCACATAAAAATAAATAAATAAAGACATTGTGTCCGTCTACAACTAAAAAAACATTTAAAAATGACTTCAGCATTTCTTTCTAAGCTGTGGCCTCTGCTGGAGGATGAGATGAGGAGTGAGAACCTGCAGGAAAGCCCTCCCTGCTCTGACCAGGTGGGACCTGTAGGGCCGAGTGGGAGAGACCCCAACCCTCCTGCCTGCCCTGTCTCCAGCAGCCACATTCCTGGGGTTTGACCTTTGCACTCCGGCCACACCCTCTCTCCGGCCTGGCCTTCCTCTGCACAGCTGCGGGGAGAGCAGGAGTGCTCCACGGCCCTCCCGCAAGGCCACTTCTGCCCTGCAGCTTCCTGCCCTTCCCAGGGAAGAGGTGCCTTTCAGCTGCACCCTCATGCCTAGCTCTCCTGGTCTCCCTGAGCAAGATGCAAGTCCTCAGTAGCAGAGAGCCAGATCTGAAATGGCCCCCAGCTAGGGACAGGGCCAGCCTCCTTGGAAACTTAAGAACTGCGAATAAAACAATGCTGAATACCAGGTTTCATTTATCAGAAGAAAAAGCCCCAAACCATATCTGAGAAGTCTGCCAGAGCCAAGGGAGGCGCGCAGCACCCCCAGCCCGAGGGCCACCGGTGGGTTCTGAGAGCCACGTTCCTTCTGGAGACCTGTCCCGCAGCCAGAGAGTTCAGGCACTACAGAGGAGGGACGGGAAGAGGTGGGTGGCAGATCTGCCATGTGAGGGCCCTGGGTTCTTCCCCTGAACCACGAAGGGAAAAGGATCCTCAGCTGCCAGACAGGAGGGGCCGCAGGGCTTGTGAAGGACAAGAGCCTCCAGCCAAGCGCGGGCAGGCAGGGCGCGGGGAGCCCCCACCCCTCAGGCAGCCAGAAGGAGAGGCCATGAACCACTGGTGCGCAGAGGGTGCCTCCCGCCGGGTGGCTGGCGGGCCGCGGGAATGGGGAAGAGAGGGCTACCAGCTGCAGCTGTGTGTGGAGCCCCCTTGGCTCCCAAGGGTCCTGGCATCTGGCTGCATGTGGACAGACTCTGGGGTCTCCTCACGTCCCACTCCTGGAACAGACATTCAGGGTCCTGAGCTGCTCCCCACGAGGTGGTGGAGGGCTCTGGTCCTCAGGTGCCTCTGGCCAGGGGACAGCTGTGGACTGGCTGGCCTTTGCCACACCCTCTAGGAGGCCTGTACCCTGCCTGGTGCTGGGGCTGAGCCCTGGCCTGGGGCAGCCAGCGAGGGTGCTGCTGCTGGGCTCTGCAGGTCTGCTTGCCCTGTGAGGTCAGGCTCCTAACTCCCAGCCACCTCCACGGCTGCTTCCAGACACCCTGCCTCCACTTCTGAGCCTCCCGCTCTGCCTGGAATGCTCCCTGGGGCTGCTGAGGCTGGACCCTCCCCCGCCTGCCAGTGGCTGAATCGCTCTTTCTTCTCCAGGCTCCTGGGGAACAATCGCCTTATCCAGCAGGCTCCCCTGGGCGCCCTGGGGGGGTTCTGATCCAGCAGGCTCCACTGGACGCAGTGTGTGTGGGGGTTCTGATCCAGCAGGCTCCACTGGGCGCCCTGGGGGGGTTCTGATCCAGCAGGCTTCCCTGGGCATCCTGGGGGGGTTCTGATCCAGCAGGCTCCACTGGGCGCCCTGGGGGGTTCTGATCCAGCAGGCTCCACTGGACGCAGTGTGTGTGGGGTTCTGATCCAGCAGGCTCCACTGGGCGCAGTGTGTGTGGGGTTCTGATCCAGCAGGCTCCCCTGGGCGCCCTGGGGGGGTTCTGATCCAGCAGGCTCCACTGGGCACCCTGGGGGGTTCTGATCCAGCAGGCTCCACTGGACGCAGTGTGTGTGGGGGTTCTGATCCAGCAGGCTCCACTGGGCGCCCTGGGGGGTTCTGATCCAGCAGGCTCCACTGGGCGCAGTGTGTGTGGGGTTCTGATCTAGCAGGCTCCCCTGGGCGCCCTGGGGGGGTTCTGATCCAGCAGGCTCCACTGGGCACCCTGGGGGGTTCTGATCCAGCAGGCTCCCCTGGGCGCCCTGGGGGGGTTCTGATCCAGCAGGCTCCCCTGGGCGCCCTGGGGGGGTTCTGATCCAGCAGCTCCCCTGGGCGCCCTGGGGGGGTTCTGATCCAGCAGGCTCCACTGGGCGCCCTGGGGGGGTTCTGATCCAGCAGGCTTCCCTGGGCATCCTGGGGGGGTTCTGATCCAGCAGGCTCCACTGGGCGCCCTGGGGGGTTCTGATCCAGCAGGCTCCACTGGGCATCCTGGGGGGGTTCTGATGCAGCAGGCTCCACTGGGCGCCCTGGGGGGGTTCTGATCCAGCAGGCTCCCCTGGGCATCCTGGGGGGGTTCTGATCCAGCAGGCTCCACTGGGCGCCCTGGGGGGGTTCTGATCCAGCAGGCTCCCCTGGGCATCCTGGGGGGGTTCTGATCCAGCAGGCTCCACTGGGCATCCTGGGGGGGTTCTGATCCAGCAGGCTCCACTGGGCGCCCTGGGGGGTTCTGATCCAGCAGGCTCCCCTGGGCGCCCTGGGGGGGTTCTGATCCAGCAGGCTCCACTGGGCGCCCTGGGGGGGTTCTGATCCAGCAGGCTTCCCTGGGCATCCTGGGGGGTTCTGATCCAGCAGGGTCCACTGGGCGCCCTGGGGGGGTTCTGATCCAGCAGGCTCCCCTGGGCGCCCTGGGGGGTTCTGATCCAGCAGGGTCCACTGGGCGCCCTGGGGGGTTCTGATCCAGCAGGCTCCCCTGGGCATCCTGGGGGGGTTCTGATCCAGCAGGCTCCACTGGGCGCCCTGGGGGGGTTCTGATCCAGCAGGCTCCCCTGGGCGCCTGGGGGGGTTCTGATCCAGCAGGCTCCACTGGGCGCCCTGGGGGGGTTCTGATCCAGCAGGCTCCCCTGGACGCAGTGTGTGTGTGGGGTTCTGATCCAGCAGGCTCCCCTGGGCGCCCTGGGGGGTTCTGATCCAGCAGGCTCCACTGGGCGCCCTGGGGGGTTCTGATCCAGCAGGCTCCCCTGGGCGCCCTGGGGGGGTTCTGATCCAGCAGGCTCCCCTGGGCGCCCTGGGGGGGTTCTGATCCAGCAGGCTCCCCTGGGCGCCCTGGGGGGGTTCTGATCCAGCAGGGTCCACTGGGCGCCCTGGGGGGTTCTGATCCAGCAGGCTCCACTGGGCGCCCTGGGGGGGTTCTGATCCAGCAGGCTCCACTGGGCGCCCTGGGGGGGTTCTGATCCAGCAGGCTCCACTGGGCGCCCTGGGGGGGTTCTGATCCAGCAGGCTCCACTGGACGCAGTGTGTGTGGGGTTCTGATCCAGCAGGCTCCACTGGACGCAGTGTGTGTGGGGTTCTGATCCAGCTGGCTCCACTGGACGCAGTGTGTGTGGGGGTTCTGATCCAGCAGGTTCCACTGGACGCAGTGTGTGTGGGGGGTTCTGATCCAGCTGGCTCCACTGGGTGCAGTGTGTGTGGGGGTTCTGATCCAGCAGGCTCCACTGGTCCCAGGCTGGGGTCACAGTGTGTGGGCGCACACACTTGTGGGGTGTGCGAGGAATCCGGAGCTTGCTGATTACCTCTTCTCATGCATTTTATTGCTACAGAACTTGAAAATCCACCTGCTCAGCTCCAAGAGAAATTGTTGGTATTTTGATTAAAATTGTGGCTTGTGCCTTGGGTTTATCACATCTGATGCTTCATCTGGGAGGTGCCTGCTTTTCAAGGCGTGCATTTTTTAAACAACGCTGATTAGTCTCTAATCAGATTCACCACTTTGTTCTTTAGAATCTTTCTGGATCTCTAGGCTCAGATTCCCATTCTCCCCTTATCTCTGCACAGGTTGACTGGTTCTGGCAGAGAGGTCAGGGATTAGGACAAAGCCTCTCAGATGTCCCCACCCACAGGGACATTCTTGGAGCAGATAGAAGGAAAACAAGATAACTAAGTAAAACCAGACCTCTGTGCCGGGGAAGAAAGCTGGGCGGGGTGACTGCTGGACAGGCCAGGGGAGCATCTGGGAGGGGGGCAGCACTGGGGGGTGGGCAAAGTGCTGCAGGTGTGGAGGTGTCCAGGAGAGAGTGGGCTGCAGGGCAGGCAGCAGGGAGGTGGGTCAGGGCTGGGCCAGCGGCTGCACACCCTCAGCTGCTCCTCGGAGACTTGTGGAGGCTGCCGCGAGAAGGCCTGGCCTGGGGTGGACCCCGAGGGTGGGAAGGGCTGGGAGACCCCACGGTGCTGTCCCTCCAGGGAGGGAGCCGGGTCAGGTCTGGGTGCTCCTGACCCCAGGGGAGCAGGCTGGGAGGGCGGTTCTGGGGACATCATGCTGCCCGGGGACCGGGTTTCCTCTGCTGTGCTCATACCCTCAGAGCCTGCCGAGCAGCCAACTGCAAGTGTCACACAGTCGTGGGCAGGTGACAGCAGCAACCAGGGGAGATGGCAGCGGCAACAGTGGCAGCCACATTTAATGACACGAACTGAAGAAGTGCCAGGTTTGTGGCATGCCTGTGACCCCAGGGACTTGGAAAGCCAAGGCAGGAGGGCTCAAAGTTTGAACCATTTAGGAAGACATCTCAAAAATTAAAAAATAAAGAAATAAAAGAGCCGGGTTGCAACTCAGTGCAGAGCACCCTGCGTCCGTCCAGCGCCCAGCACTACGCCCAGCACCAGGCAGACACACACGAAGACTAAGCGGGACACAGGCCCTGAAGGCTCCTCCCAGGCTCACGCAGCTCCTCGGGCCACCTGCCTTGCCCTGAGGGCTGCTCCCCCATTTGCTCTGACCCGGGGGTCTCCCACCTCCTGCAGTACCCACCTGTCAGCTCCAGGCCCAGCATCCAGGGCTCTAGTTGCCCATCTGCCACCTGCTTCTGCTCCTGCCCACAGGACACTAGCCTCTCCTCTGCTGCCCAGTCAATGCCCACTGCACACCACAGGCTCCCCACCTCCAGCTTCCACCCAGGCTCACCGCTCCCTCAGTACTGCCTCCTGCAAAGCTTCCTGAGTACGCTGTCCTCCCGCCACGGTCTGCTCAAGTCACTCGGCCAGGGATGATAGAGTGACAAGCTCACTGACGTCATCCTTCGACTGCCAGTGTCCTTCACCTTGAGAAAGCAGGAGTCACTTTACCCTGACCTTAACTGACCCCCTGCAACATTCCACGTAGACCACTTCCTCGCTCTGAAGTCTTCATCATGAAGCCCCCCACACTACGTCGAGCATATGCAACACACACGGGGTTCACTGTTTTGGGGATGGGGTTGAACCTCTCAGTTACACCCCCAGTCCCGAGTCCCTGGGGTCACAGGTGTGCACTCACCCTGCCTGAGCCGCTGCTGTGCCCAGTGGCAAGGGAGGCTAGGTGGCTGCCAAGTCCAAGGCATCTCTCTTTGGCCTCCACAGAAGTGTGCTGGCCTCTGCTCTGAGAGGACTCTCAGTGAGGGATGACAGGTGGCCCGGGGCTACAGCCTGCCCCTCTGGAAGCCCGTCAGTGGACACCCTGGCTCTCAGCACGTGGACGTCTCACTGCGCTGCCTTCCTTCTCTGCATCGATGAGAAGCCAGTGACCAGTCCAGCCTCACTGTGACATCTACTCTCTCGAACAGCTCTTTTCTTTGTTTGGGTGGCGGCGGGGATACCAGGGATTGAACTCAGGGCCACTTGACCCCTGAGCCACATCCCCGGCCCTATTTTGTGTTTTATTTAGAGGTCTCACAGAGTTGCTTTGTCCTTCACCATTACTGAGGCTGGCTTTGAACTCACGATCCTCCTGCCTCAGCCTCCTGAGCTGCTGGGATCACAGGCGTGTGCCACCGCGCCCAGCTTCTTGTACAGCTCTTGGAACCACTGTATTACCCTTGGTGGCCTGAGCTCTGTCACACCTTTTTCACCCGAGGGTCATATTTTTTGGTGTTGGGGACTGAACCCATGACCTCATGCAGGCAGGGAGGCGATCCTCCCCTGAGCTATATCCCAGCCCTTTTTATTTACTTCCGGTTGAGGCAGAGTCTGGCTCAGTTGCCTGGGCTGGCCTGGAACTTGTGCTCTTCCTGCCTTTGCCTCCCAAGGAGCTGGGATCACAGGTGTGGCCCCCACGCCCAGCCTGGGTTTCTTCTTCTTCTTTTTTTTTTTAATTTATTGAATTTTAAAATAGAGGACAGCAGGATGCATCACGGTTCATGTTACACCCGGAGAGCCCGTTTTCCATGTCTCTGGTTGTATATAAAGCACATTCGCACCGATTCGTGTCTTCATCCGTGTACCTGGATAGCGATGTCCGTCACACTCCACTGTCATTTCTGGGTTTCTTCTTAGGACCTCTGTTCTGTTTGGGCCTTGCAGGCCTCCCGGATTGAGGAGTGGCTTCGGGTGAATGACATTTCTAGGAGGCCCTGGGCCCATGCCAACTGTTCCCTCCCTCCTGCTCCCCTTCCTCTGCTGTGGTCCTGGAGGTTGAACCCAGAGCCTGGGGCATGCTGAGCACCGCCCGCCTGAGCTGCCCCTCGGCCCCGCTGGTCCCTCAGCCTGCCTGGGCTTTCCTGGTGGCTCCTCGTGTCTGGGTCGGCTTTCTGGCTGCGTTTTCTCCCTGTAAGTACGGAATCTATCTTTTGTGGTGCTGGCCATTGGACCAGGCCCACTAGGCACACACTAGGCAAGCGCTCCACCTGAGCTGCGCCCAGCTCTCTCAGTTTTGAGGTAGGGTCTGGCCTGAGCTTGCTCCTCCTGCCTGGTCCCCCCAGGCCGCTGGGTTGTGCCTGTCACGGTGTTGCCGCCCCACTCCCAGGTGCACAGGCGACCCTCCTGGGCTCCGCGTGGGAATGGCTGGCTCTGACCTCTAGGACCTGGGTGGCAGTGTTGCAGACACAGCTGCTCGAGTGGATGGGAGGGAGGCTGGCCCTGAGGACTGCCCTTTATGCCTGGGCTGGTGGTTCTCCGAGCTCCAGCTTCTTGGGGGGCACGCACCCTTCAGCACCCACCCTGCAGGGCCTGGCTTCCCTCACCTGCTTTCTGGACTCTGGGAGGCAGAGACACCAGATTTCAAGTTCACGGGTGTGACCAAGCTGGTGGGTGGCAGCCAGCTTCAGCCCTCTCTTCACGGGAGCCCCTGGCTGGGGCCAGGCTGCCTTCCTGGCTCCTGGCATCCCCTCCCGTGCGAGCTCGTCCAGGGGCCGTCACTCTCAGGACTTAGGCTGACAGGGCCAGCGGGCACCTCTACCTAAGTGCACTCAGATACCAAGCCACAGGCCTCAAAAGGTTTCCCGAATAAAACAATCTCTGTTACTGGAAGAAAAACCTATCCAAGAAGTTATCATGGGAGATTTAGAAAGTAAAAATGGATAAGTAACAAGGAATTTGATCATATTTACTCTAGATATTTATTTACACCTGTGATCCCAGAGACCTAGGGGCTGAGGCAGGAGGACCACAAGTTGGAGGCCAGCCTGGGCAACTTAGTGAGGCCCTGTTTCAAAATAAAAATAAAAAGCCCTGGGTGCAGCTCAGTGGTAGAGCACCCCGGGTTCAGTCCTCAGCACCAGGGAAAAATTCAATTTAATTTGAAAAGCAAACATGAATTGAAAGTCAGTGCCACAGGGAGTGAGTGACAAGGCAGCCTTCTCTGCCCAAGCTGTGTGGGGCAGGGGCCACATGGCCCGGCAGCCAGGGTCTCTTTGGCCACATTTGTGAGAACACATTTTTGATTTAAAGAAGCCAATGCAAAGCTAGCATTCCTCCTGCTCCTCCTGTAAGTCATTCCCAGCAAGATCACAGCAAACAGAAAATGCCTTTCATTAAAGCTAAGAGCAGGGCCAGCACAGTGGCCACGCTGGTCACCCAGCGACTCTGGAGGCCAAGGCAGGAGGATCCCAAGACTAGGCCAGCCGGGGCAACCCAGACAACTGTTTCAAAATAATGAATCAATTAAAGGGCCGGGGTGTAGCTGTGGTGGAGCAGCAGGGGTCCAGCCCCCAGTAACACAGACACACCAGAAGAAGAAGAAGAAGAAGAAGAAGGAAGAAGGAAGAAGGAAGAAGGAAGAAGGAAGAAGGAGGGAGGAGGAGGAGGAGGAAAGAAAAAAGGAGGAGTTGGTTCAGTGGCTCAGCGGGTAGCGTCAGCTTCTGGGGGGCCGAGGGGGAAGGATGGCTTGAGGCCAGGAGCTGGAGGCCGTGGGCGGCACAGGGAGCCCCTGCCTCCATAGGAAGGAGCAAACCCAACCGACCTTCACCAAGAACCCCCAGGCAGCCCTCTGTGTGCAGAGACGCCCAGTGCAGAGCCAGGACCCGCAGAGCGGCGCGGCTCAGTGCCGGGAGAGGAGAGGGGCCTGGAGCAGGACTCAGCGGCGGAGCTGGGACAGGGACAGCACAGTACAGCAGGAAGAGACGCCCACCCGGCCGCCCGCCGAGCACCAGGAGGCTGTCCTCAGAGCCACGACTGCCGGGAGCAGGAGCCACACTGCTGAGGCCACTGGGCCAGCAGACCAGGCCACGCTCCGCCTGCAGCCTGGAGCGCAGCCGCTGACCCCACCTCCCCGGAACCTGCCACACTCACTGGCCGGCCTCAAAGAGACAGCAGCCTTCCTGGCCCCTGTGTGGGGAACCCACCCTGCCCAGCCTGCCGACACTCCATTTCACTGGACACAGTGTGGTCCCCTTCCAGGACGAACGTGGAGCCAGAGATCTTTAAACTGAAAAGCCCGAATATAATGAATCCTCAGAAAACGAGAAGAGAGTCGGGGGCACGGGAACCTCGGGGGCTGGGCCTCGGGGCTGCACAGAGAAGGAAAGGGAGCAACCAGCAAGATTCTGAGGAAGAAACACCAGGGAAGACCCGACTGGCCCTCCGACACCACTGCACTGCACGCAGGCAGGCGGACCGCAGAGGGCCGGGGAGGGGCTCTCCACGCAGGAGCAGCCTGGTGCCGGCACCTGCAGCACCACCTCACAACACAGCACGGTAAGTGTGCGGGCGGGCGGGCGGGCGTGGACTCACACTAAAGCAGGGAAACCAGAGCTGCCCTAGAAGATATGGACAATAAGGTCGGAGTGGCCTACGTGGGCCCCCAAAGCTAGAAAGGGTCATATACAAGGACATTAGCTACATAAAAGTGAGAAATAGGTGCATAACAAAAGCACCACGGAAAGGGCTGGGGCCGGGGCTCCGTGGTGGAGCGCTGGCCTTGCAAGTGGAAAGCACCGGGTTCCATCCTCAGCACCATAAAAATAAATACAGATAGTGTGTCCATCTGCAACTAAAATATACCAAAAAAAAAAAAAAGCACCGTAAGAAAAGTGAAAAGCTGGGCTTGGTGCCACTCCTGGAATCCCAGGGACTCGGAGGCTGAGGCAGGAGGATCCCAAGTTTAAGGCCAGCCTGGGCAACTTAGCAAGACTCTCACACTAAAAAAATAAACAGGGCTGGGGATGTGGCTCAGTGGTGGAGCACTGCTAGGTGCAATCCCCAGGACCAAAAAAAAAAAAAGCCAAACACATGAAAAACTGGCTGTAGATATTTATAACTTTTGTCTCAGAAATAACCTCATTTCCAAAGAATTTCAACAGTCTAGCAAAGATGGATGCTGGGAAGACTGGTGACAGTGTGCAGGAAGCTGCCCTGGATGCTGCCGGGTGGGCTGGCCCGCCGACACCACCTGCCAGATGCAGTGCCTTTGGCTTGTGCGCCAGGGCTGAGCGTTCGGGCGGGCGAGGGCGCTAGGCTGCGGCCCGGCCCTAGACTGGGGTGGGACCAGAGGCCTTCTACCTTTTTATTTGTCATTCTGAAACAGGGTTTTGCTAGGTTGCTGAGGCTGCCCTGGAACTTCTGCCTCCTGCTCCGCCTCCCAGGTGGCTGGGATGGCAGGTGGGTGATGTGCTCAGCTGTGAGGCCAGAGGAGGTGCGTCTGGGCAGGGGCTCTCACGCCAGCCACACCCCACCCTGCGGCCCCCACAGGCCTTTCCTCCCTCCACCTCCTGCAGGAGCTGCCGCCTGCACTGGCCCAGAGCAGAGCCGTCACATGGGTTTTCCTGAAAACTCCACCTGCCCAGAGCACAGCCTGTCCCCACAGGAATGGGGCACGGGAGGGGCCTGTGACTTCCCCTGGCACCAGAGACGGAGCAGACGTGGGGAGCCGCAGGCCTCCTCCAGAGAGCACACCCGAGGGGCGCCGTGCTGGCAGGGCTGCTTCCCACAGGGCCCCGCGCTGCGGGGTAGGGGGACGGGCTGCGGGGTAGGGCGAGGGGCTGCGGGCTCATGGAGCACCTGAAGGAGAGCCAGGAGGCCAAGGCCTCAAGGCAGCGCCCGCCCGGCGTCAGCCTCAGGGAGTGGCGGGCACACGTCAGCCGGGCAGGAACTCTCCTACCTGGAGCCGAGTCGTCCTGGGAGGGGAGGCCTGAAGGGCTGGAGCCCAGGTCTAGCAACCTCCAGGTGTCCTGGAGGGAGCTGCTGGCCAGCGAGGACGACCCGCGGGTGTGGCAGCTGTTCTCCTCAGGGACCGGAGGAGCCTGCAGAGGCTTCCTGGGCCTGTTCTCATTCTGGGGTGGTCTGCAGGTCACCCAGGGGGCTTCGTGTGTCCTCTGTAGAAGTGAGAAAAGACACGGTTGTCTTGAAAGCCCCTTTCTCTGCCCTGCTCCCTCGGCCTAGTGGAGTAGAGCAGCCGTGGCGCTGAGGCAGGGAGAGGCAGCGGGGGAGGACAGTGGGAGGAGGGGGTCTGAACGCTCTGGGACACCAGCACTGGCAGTCCTGAGGGCAGGGCTGCTCTGACCACTTTCAGGTCAAAGAGACCCTTTAGAAGGAAGGAGCCGCCTGTCCAGCATAGAGCGGAGCTGCCCGGGGTGCCGGTGTCCCCCCAGCCTCCACGCCCTCCTGGCCACTGGCTCCCCTTGTGGCCCACCCTGGGACCCAAGGGCACTTGCTCCCAGCACAGGTTCCAGGTGCAGTAAGCCCCAGCACCTGCTGCCCCCTCTGCCCGGCTCACCCTCACCTGCTGCACCTGGGCCACTGCACCTGCCCTCACCTGCTGCACCTGGGCCGCTGCGCCTGCCCTCACCTCCTGCACCTGGGCCGCTGCGCCTGCCCTCACCTGCTGCACCTGGGCCACTGCACCTGCCCTCACCTCCTGCACCTGGGCCACTGCGCCTGCCCCACCTCCTGCACCTGGGCCGCTGCGCCTGCCCGCACCTGCTGCACCTGGGACGCTGCACCTCACCTCCTGCACCTGGGCCGCTGCGCCTGCCCTCACCTGCTGCACCTGGGCCGCTGCGCCTGCCCCACCTCCTGCACCTGGGCCGCTGCGCCTGCCCCACCTCCTGCACCTGGGCCGCTGCGCCTGCCCTCACCTCCTGCACCTGGGCCGCTGCGCCTGCCCTCACCTGCTGCACCTGGGCCGCTGCGCCTGCCCCACCTCCTGCACCTGGGCCGCTGCGCCTGCCCTCACCTCCTGCACCTGGGCCGCTGCGCCTGCCCCACCTCCTGCACCTGGGCCGCTGCGCCTGCCCTCACCTGCTGCACCTGGGCCGCTGCGCCTGCCCTCACCTCCTGCACCTGGGCCGCTGCGCCTGCCCTCACCTCCTGCACCTGGGCCGCTGCGCCTGCCCCACCTCCTGCACCTGGGCCGCTGCGCCTGCCCTCACCTCCTGCACCTGGGCCGCTGCGCCTGCCCTCACCTGCTGCACCTGGGCCGCTGCGCCTGCCCCACCTCCTGCACCTGGGCCGCTGCGCCTGCCCTCACCTGCTGCACCTGGGCCGCTGCGCCTGCCCCACCTCCTGCACCTGGGCCGCTGCGCCTGCCCTCACCTCCTGCACCTGGGCCGCTGCGCCTGCCCCACCTCCTGCACCTGGGCCGCTGCGCCTGCCCCACCTCCTGCACCTGGGCCGCTGCGCCTGCCCTCACCTCCTGCACCTGGGCCGCTGCGCCTGCCCCACCTCCTGCACCTGGGCCGCTGCGCCTGCCCTCACCTCCTGCACCTGGGCCGCTGCGCCTGCCCTCACCTGCTGCACCTGGGCCGCTGCGCCTGCCCCACCTCCTGCACCTGGGCCGCTGCGCCTGCCCCACCTGCTGCACCTGGGCCGCTGCGCCTGCCCTCACCTCCTGCACCTGGGCCGCTGCGCCTGCCCTCACCTCCTGCACCTGGGCCGCTGCGCCTGCCCTCACCTGCTGCACCTGGGCCGCTGCGCCTGCCCTCACCTGCTGCACCTGGGCCGCTGCGCCTGCCCTCACCTCCTGCACCTGGGCCGCTGCGCCTGCCCTCACCTCCTGCACCTGGGCCGCTGCGCCTGCCCCACCTCCTGCACCTGGGCCGCTGCGCCTGCCCTCACCTGCTGCACCTGGGCCGCTGCGCCTGCCCTCACCTCCTGCACCTGGGCCGCTGCGCCTGCCCTCACCTCCTGCACCTGGGCCGCTGCGCCTGCCCCACCTCCTGCACCTGGGCCGCTGCGCCTGCCCTCACCTCCTGCACCTGGGCCGCTGCGCCTGCCCTCACCTGCTGCACCTGGGCCGCTGCGCCTGCCCTCACCTCCTGCACCTGGGCCGCTGCGCCTGCCCTCACCTCCTGCACCTGGGCCGCTGCGCCTGCCCTCACCTCCTGCACCTGGGCCGCTGCGCCTGCCCTCACCTCCTGCACCTGGGCCGCTGCGCCTGCCCTCACCTGCTGCACCTGGGCCGCTGCGCCTGCCCCACCTCCTGCACCTGGGCCGCTGCGCCTGCCCTCACCTCCTGCACCTGGGCCGCTGCGCCTGCCCCACCTCCTGCACCTGGGCCGCTGCGCCTGCCCTCACCTCCTGCACCTGGGCCGCTGCGCCTGCCCTCACCTCCTGCACCTGGGCCGCTGCGCCTGCCCTCACCTCCTGCACCTGGGCCGCTGCGCCTGCCCTCACCTGCTGCACCTGGGCCGCTGCGCCTGCCCTCACCTGCTGCACCTGGGCCGCTGCGCCTGCCCTCACCTGCTGCACCTGGGCCGCTGCGCCTGCCCTCACCTCCTGCACCTGGGCCGCTGCGCCTGCCCCACCTCCTGCACCTGGGCCGCTGCGCCTGCCCCACCTCCTGCACCTGGGCCGCTGCGCCTGCCCTCACCTGCTGCACCTGGGCCGCTGCGCCTGCCCTCACCTGCTGCACCTGGGCCGCTGCGCCTGCCCTCACCTCCTGCACCTGGGCCGCTGCGCCTGCCCTCACCTGCTGCACCTGGGCCGCTGCGCCTGCCCTCACCTCCTGCACCTGGGCCGCTGCGCCTGCCCTCACCTGCTGCACCTGGGCCGCTGCGCCTGCCCTCACCTCCTGCACCTGGGCCGCTGCGCCTGCCCTCACCTCCTGCACCTGGGCCGCTGCGCCTGCCCTCACCTGCTGCACCTGGGCCGCTGCGCCTGCCCTCACCTCCTGCACCTGGGCCGCTGCGCCTGCCCCACCTCCTGCACCTGGGCCGCTGCGCCTGCCCCACCTCCTGCACCTGGGCCGCTGCGCCTGCCCTCACCTCCTGCACCTGGGCCGCTGCGCCTGCCCTCACCTCCTGCACCTGGGCCGCTGCGCCTGCCCCACCTCCTGCACCTGGGCCGCTGCGCCTGCCCCACCTCCTGCACCTGGGCCGCTGCGCCTGCCCTCACCTGCTGCACCTGGGCCGCTGCGCCTGCCCTCACCTCCTGCACCTGGGCCGCTGCGCCTGCCCTCACCTCCTGCACCTGGGCCGCTGCGCCTGCCCTCACCTCCTGCACCTGGGCCGCTGCGCCTGCCCTCACCTCCTGCACCTGGGCCGCTGCGCCTGCCCTCACCTGCTGCACCTGGGCCGCTGCGCCTGCCCTCACCTCCTGCACCTGGGCCGCTGCGCCTGCCCTCACCTCCTGCACCTGGGCCGCTGCGCCTGCCCTCACCTCCTGCACCTGGGCCGCTGCGCCTGCCCTCACCTGCTGCACCTGGGCCGCTGCGCCTGCCCCACCTCCTGCACCTGGGCCGCTGCGCCTGCCCTCACCTGCTGCACCTGGGCCGCTGCGCCTGCCCTCACCTGCTGCACCTGGGCCGCTGCGCCTGCCCTCACCTCCTGCACCTGGGCCGCTGCGCCTGCCCTCACCTGCTGCACCTGGGCCGCTGCGCCTGCCCTCACCTCCTGCACCTGGGCCGCTGCGCCTGCCCTCACCTCCTGCACCTGGGCCGCTGCGCCTGCCCTCACCTCCTGCACCTGGGCCGCTGCGCCTGCCCTCACCTGCTGCACCTGGGCCGCTGCGCCTGCCCCACCTCCTGCACCTGGGCCGCTGCGCCTGCCCTCACCTGCTGCACCTGGGCCGCTGCGCCTGCCCTCACCTGCTGCACCTGGGCCGCTGCGCCTGCCCTCACCTCCTGCACCTGGGCCGCTGCGCCTGCCCTCACCTCCTGCACCTGGGCCGCTGCGCCTGCCCCACCTCCTGCACCTGGGCCGCTGCGCCTGCCCTCACCTCCTGCACCTGGGCCGCTGCGCCTGCCCTCACCTCCTGCACCCGGGCCGCTGCGCCTGCCCTCACCTCCTGCACCTGGGCCGCTGCGCCTGCCCTCACCTCCTGCACCTGGGCCGCTGCGCCTGCCCCACCTCCTGCACCTGGGCCGCTGCGCCTGCCCCACCTCCTGCACCTGGGCCGCTGCGCCTGCCCTCACCTCCTGCACCTGGGCCGCTGCGCCTGCCCTCACCTCCTGCACCTGGGCCGCTGCGCCTGCCCCACCTCCTGCACCTGGGCCGCTGCGCCTGCCCTCACCTCCTGCACCTGGGCCGCTGCGCCTGCCCCACCTCCTGCACCTGGGCCGCTGCGCCTGCCCTCACCTCCTGCACCTGGGCCGCTGCGCCTGCCCTCCAGCCTCGCAGGCCCTGGCTCCTGCCGACGGGGTGTGCCGAGCCGAGCTGGCTGTTCCCCACGCATTCAGAAAGACGCTCTTTCTCGGTGTGCTGGGGGTCCTGCTGTGGCAATGTGATAAGAAGGGCTCAGGTGATGTCCACCAGCTGTCCAACGGCAGACGACACTCGTCCCCAGAACTCTGGCATTATGGACTCACTTCATTTGGTGACCCGAGGCATGGCCAGGATGGGGCAGGCTTAGTCCACCAGCCAGGACAAGGCAGGCTTCCTGCAGTCCAGCTATGTGCCTGCCTATCTTCTGGGGAGGGGGCAGCAAGCACTGTGCCCCTGGACACCAAGCAGAAGCCCACAGGGTTCTGGCCTAGAGAGGACAAATGGGACCCCCGAAGGTGCTGGCCTTGGCCTGGGGTGGAACTCGGCCTGCGATGGACATGAACAGGCCCAGGACCTGTGGGTGTGTCGCCAACCAGGCCACCCTGCCCACTCCTGTCCCAGGGCTTGATCACACCCTGCCTCTGGGGAAGGGCGCAGAAAAGCAGGCAGAAGGAAGACCAGGAAGGACAGCCCCAGAGGCATGGAGGGAAATGCCCAAGAAGCCAGAGAGAAGTCCCACGGCAGACGCAGCTGCGTGGAGCTGAGGGCATGGTGGCCAGGGGGCCAGGACCCCCATTCTCTCCTGGGCACAGCGGCAGGACACCAGCACATCAACGCATGTGCGGGAGGTCTGTGGCCTTGCTTGGCCATGTCCATCTGCCCATCACTTAATTCACAGTTCCCTGGGTCCCAGTGGCCACCGGCTTCCTGTCAGGCTGACCCTCTGCTTCTTCCCAGGGCAAGCTCCTGGGTGAGCCTGCCCCATCCCTCCGTCCAGAACCCTGCCCTCGGCCGAAGCTCAGGTTGCCCCTGGACTGGGCTGTGTGTGTGGCCTTGGCTGTGGAGGCACCTCAGATGGACCACGCCCGACCCTCCCCCCCAGCCGCCTGGGCGGCAGCTGTGACTTCTCCTCTCACGTCCCACAGCCCACCTGTCTCTGCCCTCCAGCCCCCCGGCCCCTGAAGTGGGCTCTCAGCTCCCCAGGCGGAGCCTGACTCCCTCCTGGCTGGGACAAACTCAGAGTGGCGTCACCTCAGGGCAGAGCGTGACTTCCTCCTGGCTGGGACAAACTCAGAGTGGCGTCACGTCAGGGCAGAACAGCCAGTCCCTCTCTACTGGCTCTTTTTGGTGTTTGTGGGGCTGGGGATTGGACCAGGGCCGTGTGCCTGCGAGGCAAGCGCTCTACCGCTGAGCTGGTCCCCAGCCCCAAGCTCTCTTATTATTTTTTTTAATATATTTATTTATTTATTTATTTTTAGTTTTTGGCGGACACAACATCTTTGTTGGTATGTGGTGCTGAGGATCGAACCCGGGCCACATGCATGCCAGGCGAGCGCGCTACCGCTTGAGCCACATCCCCAGCCCCGCTCTCTTATTTTGGATAAACAGAAAAGGCAATGTGCTCTGGGAGAATATATTCACAGCACATCCAGCAAACATGGATCCCTATCAAGACTGTGTAAAATTCTGATTTTTTGTTTTGTTTGTTTTTCTCTCTCTTTTGCAGTGATTAGGATTGAATCTAGGGGTGCTCTACCACTGAGCTGCAACCCAGCCCTTTTCATTTTTATGTGGAGACAGGGCCTCACTAGGCTGCCCAGGCTGGGCTGGGACTTTTGTTCCTCTGCCTCCTGAGTTGCTGGGGTCACAGGCGAGGCCACCGTGCTCAGCCTCAATGATATCCTTTAAAGAAGCCAATTATTAGCAGTTTGATTATTGAGCAATGCTGGGGACCCAACCCAGGGCCTCACACAGGGCGGGCACGTGTGCACCACTGAGCTGCATCCCCGGTTTTGAGCAGTTTAAGACACACACGCATGCACACACAATGCCAAGGTGCAGCCATCGAGTGGAACTGCGGCTGCGTGGCAGCGCACACCAAGGCAGGAGAAGGCTGCCCAGGGCAGGGCACATGGTCCATGCTCACGGTGACCAGCTGCAAGCCTCTGCCCAAGGTGTGAGCCAGCAGTGCTGCCCCGCAGGCAGCGTCCACCAAATGGAATATTATTCAACACTAAAAGGCAACGAGCTGTCACCACGGACAGACAGACAGACCCCTCAGCTGCACACGGCTAAGCCTAAGAAGCCGGTGAGAAGGCTGCAGGTTGTGCGGCTCCAGCTCCCTGGGTAGGAGGGCAGAACCAGGGAGACAGGAGGGTCAGCATGGCCAGGGGAAGGAGGGAGGGCGCGGCAGAGGCGGACACCTCTTGACCCACCTGCCCAAACCTACAGAAGACTGCGTTCCAGTGTGGGCTCCTCCAGACAGCGCACACACCAAGCACCACACAAGCACCACACAAGCACCACCCCAAGCCCACACCAAGCACCACACAAGCACCACACCAAGCACCACACAAGCACCACCCCAAGCCCACACCAAGCACCACACCAAGCACCACACAAGTACCACACAAGCACCACACCCAACACCACACAAGCACCACACCAAGCACCACACAAGCACCACCCCAAGCCCACACCAAGCACCACACAAGCACCACACCAAACACCACACAACACCACCCACAAGCCCACACCACAGCACCACACAAGCACCACACCCAACACCACACAAGCACCACCCCAAGCCCACACCAAGCACCACACCAAGCCCACACAAACCACCACACAAGCACCACACCAAGCACCACACAAGCACCACCCCAAGCCCACACCAAGCACCACACAAGCACCACACCAAGCACCACACAAGCACCACACCAAACACCACACAAGCACCACACCAAGCACCACACAAGCACCACCCCAAGCCCACACCAAGCACCACACAAGCACCACACCCAACACCACACAAGCACCACACCAAGCACCACACAAGACCACCCAAGCCCACACCAAGCACCACACAAGACCACACCCACACCACACAAGCACCACACCAAGCACCACACAAGCACCACCCCAAGCCCACACCAAGCACCACACAAGCACCACACCAAGTACCACACAAGCACCACACCAAGCCCACACCAAGCACCACACAAGTACCACACCAAACACCACACAAGCACCACACCAAGCACCACACAAGCACCACCCCAAGCCCACACCAAGCACCACACAAGTACCACACCAAACACCACACAAGCACCACACCAAGCACCACACAAGCACCACCCCAAGCCCACACCAAGCACCACACAAGCACCACACCAAGTACCACACAAGCACCACACCAAGCCCACACCAAGCACCACACAAGCACCACACCAAACACCACACAAGCACCACCCCAAGCCCACACCAAGCACCACACAAGTACCACACAAGTACCACACCAAGCTCACACCAAGCACCACACAAGTACCACACAAGCACTACTCCAAACACCACACCAAGTACCACACCAAGCGACATACCAAGCACCATACCAAGCACCACACCAAGCTCACACCAAGATCACACCAAGAACCACACCAAGCACCACACCAAGCACCACACAAGCACCACACCAAACACTACACAAGTACCACACCAAGCTCACACCAAGAACCACACCAAGAACCACACCAAGAACCACACCAAGCTCACACCAAGAACCACACCAAGCTCACACCAAGCTCACACCAAGCTCACACCAAGCTCACACCAAGAACCACACCAAGCTCACACCAAGAACCACACCAAGCTCACACCAAGCTCACACCAAGCTCACACCAAGAACCACACCAAGCTCACACCAAGATCACACCAAGAACCACACCAAGCTCACACCAAGAACCACACCAAGAACCACAGAAAGAACCACACCAAGATCACACCAAGCTCACACCAAGAACCACACCAAGAACCACACCAAGAACCACACCAAGCTCACACCAAGAACCACACCAAGCTCATACCAAGCCCACACCAAGCACCACACAAGCACCACACCAAGTACCACACAAGCACCACACCAAGCCCACACCAAGCACCACACCAAGCCCACACCAAGATCACACCAAGAACCACACCAAGCACCACACCAAGCACCACACAAGCACCACACCAAACACCACACAAGTACCACACCAAGCTCACACCAAGCTCACACCAAGAACCACACCAAGAACCACACCAAGAACCACACAAGCACCACACCAAGAACCACACCAAGCTCACACCAAGAACCACACCAAGCTCACACCAAGAACCACACCAAGCTCACACCAAGCTCACACCAAGAACCACACCAAGCTCACACCAAGAACCACACCAAGCTCACACCAAGCTCACACCAACAACCACACCAAGCTCACACCAAGAACCACACCAAGCTCACACCAAGAACCACACCAAGCTCACACCAAGCTCACACCAAGAACCACACCAAGAACCACACCAAGCTCACACCAAGAACCACACCAAGAACCACAGAAAGAACCACACCAAGATCACACCAAGCTCACACCAAGAACCACACCAAGAACCACACCAAGAACCACACCAAGCTCACACCAAGAACCACACCAAGAACCACACCAAGCTCATACCAAGCCCACACCAAGCACCACACAAGCACCACACCAAGTACCACACAAGCACCACACCAAGCCCACACCAAGCACCACACCAAGCCCACACCAAGCACCACACAAGTACCACACCAAACACCACACAAGCACCACCCCAAGCCCACACCAAGCACCACACAAGTACCACACAAGTACTACACCAAGTACCACACCAAGCTCACACCAAGCACCACACAAGTACCACACAAGCACTACTCCAAACACCACACCAAGTACCAAACCAAGCGACATACCAAGCACCATACCAAGCACCACACCAAGCTCACACCAAGCTCACACCAAGAACCACACCAAGCACCACACCAAACACCACACAAGTACCACACCAAGCTCACACCAAGAACCACACCAAGCCCACACCAAGATCACACCAAGCTCACACCAAGAACCACACCAAGAACAATACCAAGAACCACACCAAGCTCACACCAAGAACCAAACCAAGCTCACACCAAGAACCACACCAAGCTCACACCAAGCTCACACCAAGAACCACACCAAGCTCACACCAAGAACCACACCAAGCTCACACCAAGAACCAAACCAAGGTCACACCAAGCTCACACCAAGCTCACACCAAGAACCACACCAAGCTCATACCACGCTCACACCAAGCTCACACCAAGAACCACACCAAGAACCACACCAAGCTCACACCAAGAACCACACCAAGCTAAAACCAAGAACCACACCAAGCTCACACCAAGCTCACACCAAGCTCACACCAAGAACCACACCAAGCTCACACCAAGAACCACACCAAGCTCACACCAAGCTCACACCAAGAACCACACCAAGCTCACACCAAGAACCACAAAAAGAACCACACCAAGCTCACACCAAGAACCACACCAAGCTCACACCAAGCTCACACCAAGAACCACACCAAGAACCACACCAAGAACCACACCAAGCTCACACCAAGAACCACACCAAGAACCACACCAAGAACCACACCAAGCTCACACCAAGCTCACACCAACAACCACACCAAGCTCACACCAACAACCACACCAAGCTCACCCCAAGCTCACACCAAGAACCACACCAAGCTCACACCAAGAACCACACCAAGCTCACACCAAGCTCACACCAAGAACCACACCAAGAACCACACCAAGAACCACACCAAGCTCACACCAAGCTCACACCAAGAACCACACCAAGCTCACACCAAGCAAGACCCACAACAGGAAAGGGGGCTATGGGAACTTGGCACTTTTCACCCAATTTTTCCATAAATCTAAAACTGCTCTGAGAAATAGTCTATTAATTCTTTTAAACATTTAATATTTAAATAATAATATTGAAAAGAGCAGAAAATACAGATGTTATCCTGTTGACCTTCAAAGTTACCCACATGCAACAAACTGAAGGATCTCCCTGTGCTTTGGGGGTGTAAGCCGGCCCAGTAGCTCCAGACTGTCATTTGGCCATGTCCTAGGAAGATGGACATGAGTCAGGTGCAGTGGCACACACCTGTGACCCCAGTGACTCGGGAGCTGAGGCAAGAGGGTCACAAGCTCAAGTCCATCCTGGGCAACTTAGCAAGACCCTATCTCAAAATAAAACATAACTAGGATTGGGGGTGCAGATCAGCAGTAGAGCCCCCCCCCCCCCCCGGGTGTAGTTCATGGTACTGCAAAAAGGGGAAAAAAAGGAGGGTAATTATTTACAGGGTACTATGATAGTTAACAAAATAAAACGCCCGGGAAAAATGGTGACTATCTGCCTGCACTCGAATAGAAACAAACCTTCCAAGTTGAAAAACAGTTAAATAAACCATTAGACTGTGAGTTCATTAGATTGAAAAAAACGTTTTCAAGTTATTTAAGGATTTTTTTTTTTTTTTCTAAACTGGGGCTTGAACCCAGGGTGCTTTACCACTGAGCCACACCCCCAGTCTTTTCTACTTTTTGTTTGGAGACAGGGCCTTGCTAAATGGCCCAGGCTGGTCTTGAACTTTTGATTTTCCTGCCCAAGACTCCAGAGGAATTACAGGTATGCCCCACAGTGTCTGGTTTATCTGAGGATTTTTTTTTTTTTAAAAAAAGGAAATTAAAAAACAAATGACAATGGGCTGGGGATGCGGCTCAAGCGGTAGCGCGCTCGCCTGGCATGCGTGCGGCCCGGGTTCGATCCTCAGCACCACACACAAACAAAGATGTTGTGTCCGCCGAAAACTAAAAAATAATAAATATTAAAATTCTCTCTCTCTCTCTGTCTTTAAAAAAAAATAAAAATAAGATGAAATTCCTTATACACACACACAAAAAAAAAAACAAAACAACAACAACAAAGAAAACAAATGACAAATTTGGAAAGAGTTGTAACAGACAAGCAACAATTGCCTTAATATATAAAGAAGTCTTACAAACCAACAAGAATAAACACACCAGTAGAAAAATTCAAACATGCATAAATAACTCAGAAGAAATATAAAGGCCAATAAATGTTAGAGACATTGAAGGCCGCTAAAAACTAAGAACATTTCCCAGCTCTAAAGACATACATATTTTTTAACTTATATCGACGTGCCTTTGGCAGCTGTGTGTGCCTGCTGGGAACAGAGGCTTCTCATGTCCCACTTAGTCCTCCAGCAGGCAGCAGGACTGGAAGAGTTACCTGAAAGGTGGCGTGGGTCTTCACCTGTCCCAGAGGTGGGCTGTGGTCCCAAAGCGCCTCCCGTGCCTTGCCCTGGTCCTGGTCCTGGTCCTGGGGGGTGGGAGGCCGGGGAGGACAGGGCAGTCTCCCTGGAAACGAGACCAGGAAAGGGTCTGTGCTCTGTGCTTCAGTCACTCCTGGACGGCTTTCCTGCTGAACACAAACACTCAAGGACAGCATGTTCCTCTTCAAAGCCAAGTCACTTCTACACCAGAGAACCTGGGCAGGGGCCAGTGTGACTGTCACACACAGCCCCCGGCGGGCTCCCTGCACCACAGGGCTCCCTCCGGGCAGCAGAGCCGACTGGGCCTGTTAAGAGCACCCAAGGCAGGCCTGCTCTGCAGCACTCAGGGAGAGCAGAGTGGCGCCGTGCACCTGTGGGCCAGCCGCGTGGGTGGCTGAGGCAGGAGGACCGTGGAGCCCCCAGTTCGGGGCCAGTTTGGGCGACACTGCACAACTCTGTCAAAAAACAAAAAACAAGCAGCAGCAGCAAAAGTGTGAATCATATGCTTAAAAACGACAGCTGTGGTGAGTGCTTGGCATCCCACCTGCCTGGATCCTGGCACAACATGGACATCTTTCCCTGAGCCGATATCTCCAGGAGTTCTCTTTGAGCTGACATACTGCATGATCACTATTGAAATGACATTTCTAGAGCAAGGAATCAATTCAGGACTCCAAGAAGTTCTTGTTCTTATTTTCATTGCGGGGGGGGGGGAGAATTATAATTACAGCTATTTATCACACTGGAAACTAAAGCAGAGGGATTTTTTAAAAAACTTTTACAGGACTGGGGACTGAACTCAGGGGCGCTATACCACTGAATTAAGTTGCTGAGCCTGGCCTTGAACTTGAGATCCTCCTCTTCAGCTTTGCTGGGGTTCACAGGTATGCGCACACTGTGCCCAGGCTTTTTACCTATCTTGATTGGGCAAAAATGACACTTTATATGCTACTTAGTTATTGTGAGGCTGTGATCAGAGGCATTTTTATTCACTGCCATAAGCATCTCTAAACACCTGCAGGAGACGGCACCTGTGGGCCAAGGGAGAAGAGCTCACGGATGCGTGGCCCGTCTGTCGGCTGGACCTGAGATGGAGGCTGTGCACATGGCCGTGGAGGTGTGTGAGCAGGCACGCACACACACCTGGGTGCACGGGCCAGGGCACGTGCGTGAGTGTGAACACAGTCAAAGGACAGAAGTGCTGAGCCTTTTCACAAAAGTGTGAACTAACTCTAATTAGCAATTTTTGTTTTTCTGTGTACTTTTCAGCACTGTTTAAAAAAATTAATGGTTTTTTTGGCACTGGGGATTAAACCCAGGGGTGCTCTACCACAAAGCCATATCCCAGCCTTTTTTATCTGTATTTATTTTTGTATGTGGTGCTGAGACCTGAACCCGGTGCCTACGTACGCTAGGCAAGCGCTCTCCCACTGAGCCATGACCCCAGCCCCTTGACTTTGAGACAGGGTCATGCTGAATTGCCTAGGCTGGGCTTGAACTTGTGATCCTGCTGCTTCGGCCTCCCGAGCGTGTACCATCATACCCAGCGCTGTTTTAAATCTTTACAATGAGAAATCATCCTTTTTTGGATGAGAAAAGCAAAGTCTTTTTGGCCTGACGGGGAGCACTGGGCAGACGTGAGCTCCACAGAGCCGGCGAGGCCCTCGGGTTGAAGGCGCACGGCCGCCAGCGGGAGGCAGTCAGCCCCCTCCTGTGGGCAGACTGGCGGGGCTGCAGGTCACACGTGGGGGCCACCGGGGAGGTGGCTGGGGTGCCTGTGGACAGCTGCCGACAGCAGGCGTGCTCGGCTGCGGGCAGGACAGGTCTCATTCTGAAAGCAAGCGGTGAACAATGACCAGGAATTTGTCACAGCTGGTCACTCCATTCCACTTAATGACTGTGGCCCTACGGCGTAGGAACCAGTGGAGATGCAGAGACCAGCCTCGCCCAGCCCCGCTGCCAGGACCAGGCGCTGGGCTGGGGGGGCAAGGGGCGTGGGATGAGCAGAGTCAAACGTCCTCTGTTCTCTGCCCACTGTCTCCCTCCAAACCCAAGAACTGGCCACTCCTGCCCAGCCCTCCCGTGGCTCCTGTGTGCCCATGGACCCTGACACACAGGCCTGCCTGCGCAGAGACATGCTGCCTGGGGGCAGCAGTGAGGAGGAGGAGCTGCCATGACACCCACAGGCCCAGCAAAAGCCTCAGCTCACGGCCGGCGGTGCCTGGTGGGAAGGGGCCTTGCAGGGCCGGCAGGACACCTGGGGCAGGGGTTCCTGTGAGCACACAGCCCCTCCCTCCTCCCCAGGCAGCAGCACTGGGAGGGAGCTCGGGCCCGGCCCGCGCCAGGCAGGTGCTCTGTGCCCACCCCAGACTCAAGGTCTCTAAGCAGTGTTCCAGAAGCACCAGACGGGAGTCGGAGTCCTAAACGGCCCTCTGGAAAGGCCTCTCCAGTTGGGACCCCTTCTCCCGGTGGTGCTGGGGATGGGCCAGGCCTCAGGTGCTGGGTGAGTGCTGACCTGTGCTACAGGCCAGCCTCAGCTTTCTGATCTGAGAAGCAAGGGAAGTGGCACTCCTGGGCTCAAGCAGGGCGGAGCACTCCTCCTCAGCCACAGGGACTCCTGGGCACCTCCCAGCCCTCGGCTGGGCTTCCAGCCGCCCGACAGTCATGGACTCCTTTTAGGTCAGGTGTGGGAGTGTTCCCAGTCTGGGATCTTCATCTCTGATGCCTCTTCCTTAGAGACACTCAGATGAAATGGCCCCTGGTCTGCGGACACTGGCTTTCCCATGAGTGGCCGTTCTCAAATGAGCTCCCGCGGCAGAGAGAAACCAGTGAATGCGCTCCCAGCCCGGGGCGGGGGCCCGGTTTGAGCCGAGTGCCCTCACAGCACCTGCTGAAGTGAATTCCGGCTCATTAAACATGAGAAGAGAAACGCAGGGAGAGGCCCACAGGTGACGGAGGGAGCCACAGCCCAGAAGGAAGGGAAGGAGCACAGGCTGTGGGCGCTGCCTGCCGCGGTTCTCCAAGTCCTGAGGGTGGGGGTGGTCTTCCAGTGGAGTGAGAACGGCCAAACCGAACCACCACAGAAGAACACACAGAAGCCACACGCGGGCACGGTCCAGAGGCAGAGGCCTGCAGCCCGCGGAGGAGGCGCAGAGGTGCGCACTGCCCTGGGCTCTGCAGCGGGGGCAGACCTTTCATGCAGACTCTGGCTCCACGCAGGGACTGCACCATGGGGTGTGGGCAGGTGGATGGGCGGACGGAGAGCAGAACAGGTACTTGCTCAAACACAGGCTGTCAGGCTCAGCGGGCTGTAGGAAGCCACGAGAGCAGGAAGACAGGTTCACTGGAAGGGATGGCCAGAGGGAGAAGGGGGCATGGCTACCAACCAAGACAATGTGGCCAAGCTGGCAGGGGCTGGCGCCGAGGCCAGGGCGAGGGGCATCACACCTGACAGGGGGAGGGCCGTCTCAGTTCCGAAGAGGACAGCGCAGAATGGAATTGAGCAAGAGGCGAGGAGCTCTAACTGCTAAACCCACGGCTTGCAACGGTGACAGACAGGAGGAGCCAGGGTGCGTCCACCCTGCCAGCCCAGCCCTCAGGAGGCAAGTCTGAGGCCAGGCCGGGAAGCTTACAGAATCCTCTCTCAAGATAAAATGAAAAGGGGCTGGGACGCAGCGCCGGTCAAGTGCTCCTCGGGCCTGCGCGAGGCCTGGGTTCCATCCCCGCGGGCAAAGAGAAGCCAGTCCTGTGTGAACTGCAGAAAGTGCCCCTGAGGGGAAGGCGTTGGTGTCGGGGGAGAGCCTCCTGCCCACCCTGTCCCCAGCCTACGCCCTGCACTCCTAGGTGCCCCAAGGGGGCAGTGAGGGTGGACAATGGTCAGTGTCCACCAGTGCACACACCAACACCTCCCAACCCCTGCCGCTAAGGTCTGTGTACTGCTCCTCTTTCAGGGGCTGGGCTCTCAGGACAAAGCCACTGCGATAATGACTTTCAAACACCCCAAAGGGGAAGGCTAACCTGGTCTCAGAACAACGGGGCTGATTACAGGTGAGACGCTTGCCTGGCCTCCTGTCTGGTGTCTCACCTCCCAAGTGTGCTCTGGGTGTGGAAGTGTGAACGCCCCTCTGCTCCACTCAGACTTCCTCAAGGAGCCAAGGCTCCCTGGAGCTCTGCGGCCCTGCGCCCGGGGCTACTTCTCCTTCCCCCTCTGCCAGGTTTCTTCAGAAGCCACAGAAGGACATGCTAAAACCACAACTGTCACCCTGCAGCCAGCCCCAGGCAGAGGCTGGAGGACGAGGCACAGCACCCTGACCCCTTTCCCTTAGATGGTGACCCGTCTTCCTACCTTCCTTCTTCTCTTCCTCCCATTGTGGTGCTGGAGACGGAACCCAGGGCCTCAGGGACACTAGGCAAGTTCTCTGCCACTCGGCTGCGCCCCAGCCCGATGGCGCCATCTGAAGAGCTCTCCAACTGGGGCAGGCGAAGTGCTACTCCTGCTAGACCCTTTACCGTGCTTGCGGCTCCCAGGTTTTGGGGGGGGGCGATTTGTATTGGGGATTGAACCCGGGGCACTTCACCACTGAGCCACGTCCCCAGCCCTTTATATTATTCTAAGGCTGGGCATCGCTAAGTTGTTGAGGCTGGCTGAGAACTTGGGATCCTCCTGCCTTGGCCTCCTGAATTGCAAGGCACCATGCCCCACTGCTCCCAGCTGTTAAGGGCACACAGACTGGAGTTTCATGTCTGCAGCAGGTTTATGTCAACCCAGTCCCGGCCCCAGCTGCTGGTAGTGTGCAGGCAATGGATAGAAGGCATGGCCAGATGGTGGACGCTCCAGAGCTCGCCTTTGGGGCCACCACAGATGCTTAAAGCTTGACAATTGTCATCTTGCAGAAATGCGCACGAGGGCAGTGGGCAGGTGAGTGAGGAGGCTGCAGTGGGCGCTGCGCTGCACCCCTCTCTGCAGCCCTTGAGGACAGTGGTGAGCCCGCACAGGGCGAGACTCCCACTCAGGCCGGGAGACCCTGGACTGGGACCCTGCTTCTCCCGGCCCTCTGGCCCTCTGGCCCTCTGCGGCAGCCGGCCTTGTGCCACAAATCCGTGTCAGAGTCCTGTAGTCCCAGCCTCCCCGGCCTTCACCTCCATCGGGGATCTGCTGCTGGGCCATCCTGAGAGGCGGGGTCCTGCCTGGCCAGAGGCATCTAACCGCTCCACTCTGTGGTCCTCTCCCTCCCCGCGAGGCCCAGGCCAGGCCCCCTGCTGACCCCAGGCTCCCGACAGGTGTGCAGGGAGTCGTCCTGGCAGTCCTCGCCCTGGCCAGTCCTGTTCCCAGGGACTCACCTTTGGGGTGTCCCTGCTCTGCCCGGAGCCGGTTCCCCATCTCCATGAGCTGCTCCTTCTCCAGGCGGAGGCGCAGGATCTTCTTAGCTGCTGCCTTCAGTTTCCTCTGCAGGTGGGGCACGGATAAGGCCTGTGGGGGCTGTGCCCCCAGCTGGTCCTTCGTCCCCACGGGCCTCTCATCTGCAAGGCCCTGTAAATAAAACCCACACGCAGACACCCTGTAAGACCCCAGACCACAGGGCCCTGCATGGTGGAGGACGAGGGGCCAGGTGCAGATGGCCCTCCCAGTTTGGGCACTGCTGCCTGCCTGGCTGGTGGCCGCTCCCTGCGCTCAGCCTGGCCTGTGATGCCTCCTCTCCAGGCGGCGGCCTGCCCAGGTCTCTAGTCCTTTCTCTGCTGGCCACAGGCCTTGGCAACCCCCAACTCAGAGTCTCTGAGAGTTCCTCCCCCACAGCCCTGCAGGGCGTTGGCCCTTGTGTCCTTGAGAGGGGACAATGAGAATTCATACACCCAACCGGCACAGTGGCTCCCCCAGGGCAAGCCCCCAGACCCAAGAGGACTGCACCCTGTGTGGGCGCTGCTTCTCCATCTGTAACAAGGACTGCAGACTCCTCCCTCGGCCTGCGAATGTCCAGTGGGCAACTAAAAGCCCCCCACTGATCTGTCTCCTTTGCTGAGTCACCTCAGGTTCCAGCCTCTAGAGTCTGCCTCCTGCATGAAGGCGGCTGCAGGCTGGCGGGCCTGTTCTCAGGGCTGGGACGAGCCCGGGCCTGCACACGCTGGCGAGCGCTCTGCTGCGGAGCCACACTCCCAGTCCTTTCATTTTAATTTACTTATTTTTTAAATATTTTGTTTTAGTTGTAGCTGAACACAATACCTTTATTTTATTTTAATGTGGCACTGAGGATCAAACTCAGCGCCTCACATGTGCTAGGTGAGCACTCTACTGCTGAGCCACAACCCCAGTCCTCATTTTTATTTTTGGGACAGGGTCTCATTAAGTTGCCAGGCTAACCTTGAACTTGAGATCTTCCTGCCTCCGCCTCCAGAGTTCTGTGAATATGGGGGCCCACTGCACCTGGCTTCAGACATCTAGAGTCTGAGGGAAAATTTGCCCTCCAGATGCAGGCCCCTTGACCCAGAGATGACGTCCACGCGACCCAGCAGCCTGGTGGTGCCCTGGCCCTTCAACTGTCATAAGTGCACAGAGAGAGGAATGGCCGCAGCCTTGTCCCTGTTCCAGGCTCAACACTGACCTAGGAGATGTAGAGTGGACCTCCCTGGGTCAGTTGCTGGTAAAACTCTATCTGCTATGTTTATTTTGACCAGGTTTGGTGGCACACATCCATGATCCTGACAGCTTGGGAGGCTGCGGCAGGAGGACTGCAAATCCAAAATCAGTCCCAGCAATCAAGTGAGGCCCTAAGCAACTTAGCAAGACCCTGTCTGTAAACACACAAACAAACAAGGGGTGTAGTTCAGTGTTTAAGCAATCCTGGGTTCAATCCCTGCTGAGGGGAAAAAGAAAAAAATTATTTTGATGACTCTGTGAAGTCTTTCCCCAACATAAAGATCACACAACCTGAGACGTATTCAGGGGGACTTTTTTTTAAACAGGTGCAGTGGCAGTCCCACCCCTGTACTCACCCCAGGGTGGGGATACTGCCCTGCCTGGGTACTGGCGTCAGCATCTTGGGAGGAAATGGAAGGGTCTGCCCCACTGAGACGACTCAATGACCTCCACCAGACACTGACCAAGCAGTCCTGGGGAGGCTGCCGAGTGCGGGCTCCAGGCCCCAGGAAGCACCAGCAGGCAGACCAGCAGGCCCTTCCCCCAGGGGCCAGCTGTGGCAGGGCCTTCAAGCCGGCTGCTTACCAGAGCCTCCAGGTGGCCAACACTGCCCCCCAGTGGACCCAGGGACAGACCCTGGAGCTGCCCTGGACACGGGAACAGGGTGGGACAGCCTGTGGCAGGAAGCAAGCCGACTTGAGTCCTAGGGGGGACAAGTGTGGCCAGCTTGAGACCCCTCGTGCCGCGGCTGGCGGGAACCTGCCTTGGAGAGAGGAGCCGCAAGGACAGCTCCCCGCCTGGGGGCAGGTGGCGGCTGTGTGCTGCCCTAACCCTGACCCCAACCCTAACTCTCCACGTGAGCCCCCCCCAGCACTCTGAGAGCACACGGAGCCCTCCCACCACCTCACGCGGCCCCTGCTCTCTGACAGGGACGGGGACGCGTGACTCCACCCGGTGTTCCCACCAGGCCCTTCCCAGCTTGATTCTCCTGTGGGACCCAGAACACTCGCAGCGTTGGAGGGCTGGCCCCTGGTGACACTGACACCTGGAGTGCAGGCCATCCCTCCCTGGGTGCCCAGGACACCTTGCGCCTAGGCTCCGCTGTGAGCCCAGGGCCTCCTGCCTGAGGTGGGAGGTGTTGTGTGCTGACCCTGGGGAGGCCCTGAGGCCTCTCCACTGGAGACGCGTCCTGTCCCTGGCCTCCAGACGCGGTGACGGGATTCCCAGTGGGCTTGGCCTCCCTCTGGTTCACCCGGCTGCGTGGTCCTTCACGTTTGCTGGCGACGTTCTGATTTGAGGTGCCAGCTCCTCTCTCATGACGCACCTGTTCGCCTGCCCCGTGTGGCCCGGTGACTGCCTGCTGGTTCAGTGAACTGTAGTCTGTCCTGTCATTATGGGGCCAGATGTGGCAGGAAGCCCCTTATGGAGGGTGCCGTGGCCCCCTGCCTCAGTCTGTGCTGGGTGCCAGGGGGCACTGTCCCTGCAGCCTTGGTCCTGGGAGCAGGGGCCCCTCCCACTGCTCCTCTGCCTGTTGGAGGTGACTCCAGCCCTGTGTGGCGCCCAGGAACTGCCTCCCTGCCTCCCCTCTCCTGGCATCGGGAGCCTGGCACCCAGGTGTGCTGTGGGCAGCGAGCAGCATCTGTGGGGGTGCTGGTCACCGTGCTTCCTAAGCCTTTCGTTGTCACACAGGGTCTGCCTGCACGGCTATGTACACGACTCTGAGGCCACCTGCCCTGGAAGAGCGGGGCAGGGCCTTCCAGCCCGCTGCTACCATGGATTAGTACCTTGGCTCTCAGTTCAGCTTCTGCATGTGCTTTCTGCCCCTCTGCGCTGGGCAAACAGGAAGGAGGAGCAGGTATAAAGGCGGCTAAGGCCTGGCTGCAGGCGCTGTCCTGGGAGGGGCCGTGGCAGGCTGGGGCAAAGGCCCGAAGTGCCCGGCGGCTGGGGGTCAACCCGGTGTTGCTGCACTGTGGAGGCAGGGATGCCAGGCAGGGCTGGGCCCTGGGTGCTGGGCCCTGGGTGGTCTGCTGCTCAGCCCTGCTGGGCTTCTCCGGGCCATTCCTAGGCGGCCCTCTCGGGTCCCTGGTGCTAAGGGGACACCTCCACTGTCTTCACCTCCTCTGCTTCTACCAGAAGACTCTGAGTACCTTCCAGACACTACTTCATGTCCCTAAAACCTTCTGTTGATTGACAGGTCACCTTTGATAACCACAGGCCATCCAGGTCACTAAAGATGACCACAAGTCACCACAACAGTCGCAGCAGATAAGTGACCAGATTTTTGGGGGGCAGTACTGGGGACTGAACGCAGGGATCTCTACAACTGAGCAATATCCCCAGCCTTGAAATTTTTTTTTTTTTTTTTTAATTTTGAGACAGGGTCTTGCTAAATTGTCCAGGGTTACCCCAAACTCACAATCCTCCTGCCCAGCCTTCCAAGTAGCTGGGATTACAGGTGTGTGTCATCGTGCCTGGCCACTGAAGGTCACCAGTCATGGCAGGTCACTGTGGGGCAGCACTGCAGGTTACTGGCAGGGCCTGAGGACACCTGAGGAGGCTGGACTGTCTGACTGTCCCCACTAGTCCCTCAGAGCTTTAGGTAAGAAAAAAGGGCCTGCCTGTCACTGCTCAGCCAGAGTCAGGACCCGAGGTCCTCTGTAAGGTGACCCATCACAGGCTGGGCAGGCACTTGGTGCAAAGGCCTGACCGCCACCCAGGCTCTGCATGCTGTGCTGCGTGCCGCAGAGGCCTCCTCCCATGGGCAGGCCGAGCCAGTCCACACAACGTGCGCCTCTCAGCAGACAGCCCAGGCCTGTCAGAGGACGCGGGCAGCTCTCTGTGGGAGGCGGTGTGGGCTGTGCCGCGGTGGCACTGCAGCTAGTCAGAGAGGACCAGAGGCAGGAGCAAGGTCACAGAGGGAGGCGGAGGAGGAGAAGGTGGAAGGACAGAGGCAGCCTGCACGGCCGAGCAGCGAGGTGGCCGAGCGCCCGCAGGGCAGGGCCCTTGGCAGCAGTGCGGCAGGAGCGCGGGGCAGCTTGTGGGAGGCCGGAAGGGACCCACCTCTCTCCTGAGCTGCTCCCTGCCTAGAGGCTGCTCTCCTTCCCGCTGGGCGCTCCCAAGATGCTTCTCCAGCTCAGCCACCTGCTGCTGCAGCTCCTGCACCTCCACATGCACCTGGCCCACCTCCCGGGGAAGCTCGAGGTGCAGGGTGTCCGGCTCCAGGGGCTTCTGCTGCACCTAGAAGGCCATTTCACAAAGCAATGTGAGGAACAAGGCAGGGGGTGCCGGGGCTGGAGAAGGACAGGAAGAAGGACCCTCAGAGGCACCTGGGGAAAGTGGGGACCGTCATGTAAGTTAAATAAGCCCATCCCCCAAAACCAAAGGCCGGGGGCTCTCCTGCTGTGTGGCTGTGACCCACAGTAAGTGGGTGGGAAGAACCGAAGTTCACTGGACTAGACAAGGGGGAAGGAAGAGAAGGCAGGGGAGGGGAATGGGAAGACAGTGGGGTGAACTGGACATGGCTCCCTGCGACTCCACACAACCACAGAATGGGAAGCCATAGCCCACGTGTGTGAGATACGTCAAAATACACTCTGCGCTCACGGACAACTAAAAAGAGCCAACAAAAAAACGTTTTTAAAAAGGCAGCAGGGGAGCAGAGAGGAGCGAGGAGTCTCTCTGCAGGCGGACATGACCACCAGCGCACCTGCCCTGGGCTGGCCCCGGTGCTGCTGGGGAGAGTCTGTGTGGTGACGCACTGGAACCTCCTCCCAATCCCAGCCCCAGGGAGAAGCAAACACCTGTACAACACTGCGAGCAGCTGAGAGCAGTGGGCCTCCCCCAGCAGTCAGTCAAAGCAGCAGAGGTAGGCGGGAGGTTCAAATGAAGTCACAGGCCACAGCAAGAGCTGCAGGTGACACAGGCTGGCGGGACCTCCTGGACCTGATCAAAACTAAACCGTTTCTGCTTTGGACACCATGAAAGGTGAAAAGACAGAATGGGGGAGATGCAGCAGATCGTGTGTCTGAGGGGGACTCTGACCTCTCGACAGTGAAGACGAATAACCCAGTTAATAACAGCCACGGATCTAAACAGACATTTCTCCACTGAAGGTGTACAAATGGCCAGGGACCCCACGAAGAGGTGGTCAGCATCATCATCACCAGGAAAATGTGAGTGACCACCTCACTAGACGCCACTTCACACCCACCAGGTGACTGGAGTGAAAAGACAGAAAGCAGCCGCACTGCTGGGCTGGACTGTGCGGGGGCAAGGCTGGGGGTCCTGCAAGTGCTGAGCACGGAGCTGCCCCGGACCCCACAGCTCCACTCAGGCATACCCCAGCCCCAAATGCTCGTCCCCAGAGAAGCCCACACGCGACCAACATGGCAGCACTACTCAGGCCTCTGCTGAGAAGAGGTGGACAGGAGGTGACGCACCACACCACGAGTGGACGCAGTCGGGGAGGAAGGAGGCGCTGGCCTGTGCCTCGGGCAGGCGGCCTTGAGGACCCTGTGGTGAGTGTGCAAAGCAGGACCGCAGTGCCCTCACCCAGGGCCACCCCACACAGGGCCCGCGCGTCCCTCTGGCCGCACTGCTGAGACCTCTTCCCCCCTCTCCCGGCTCTTCCTTTTCTTTTTGGCACTGGTATGGAGTCCAGGGCTGCTGTGCCACTGAGCTCTGTCCTCAGACCTTTTCATTTTTTATTTTGAGATAGGGTCTCGCTAGGTGGCTGAGGCTGGCCTAGAACTGCGATCCTCCTGCCTCAGCCTCCCCAGTTGCTGGGATCACAGGCCTGTGCCACCGCACCTGGGCACCTTCCACAGCCACACACGAGATAAGCCACTGCTGCTCACCCCAGCCCTTTGCTGAGAAGCAAACAGGCACAGAAAGGGCAAGTGGACTTCCAGGGTCAGCAGGCCTGCACCCCTGAATGGCTCTCTCGTAGGAAGAGCTGCACTGCCGTGCCCATCAAAGGACCACCTCACCTTCTTTCCGAGACGCGTCACCAGCAAGTTCAAGAGATGCACTCTGTCTCTGAGCTTCCGGAGTGCCAGTGCCAATCCAGTGGATGTGTGACCATCTGTGACAGATTCTCCTGCAGAGAATAGCAACTTCTGTGAGGCTCAGATCTGGAAAATCAAGAACGCCATCTCTCACGAGCCCCAGGACCAGGGGGAGCCAGGGAGGCTGCTGAGTGGACTCGGGGAGAGGAGGCCCTTCCCTGAAGTGAGGGGTGTGAGCCCCTGCAAGGAGCAGAAGAGTCCTCACGTAAAGGGCAGGAGCCTCTGCAGGACAGACACACCTCACCACGTAGCGGCTGAGAGGCCAGCGGCCGCTGCTTCTCCTAGACGGAGGAATGTTCATTTGGGAATTAAGCAAAAAGATGCCCCTGTGACACATGGTCCAAGAAATGACGTAGGAGTGGTGGCACAGGCCAAGGCAGGAGGACACAAGTTGGAGGCAAAAGAAAAAATGATAAAGGAAGGACAGGGGCTGCCCGTGGCAGGACGCCCCGGACAACCAAGGGCAAATCCAGCCGGCCACACTCGGAAGGAGGGACCCTGAGCACCAGGCCTCTCTAGAGCCGTCCAGGCGGCAGGCTGTGTGAGGAGGTGAGCGGGGCCGCCGGCCCACCACTGGGCATGACGAACAGCGGGGCCAGGACACGAGCAGCCCCTACTGAGGGCTGTCCCTGGGAAGGGGCGGCGGGCACCCAGGAGGACTCCCGGGAGTCCCTGTCCTTTCTTCTCCCTCTACTCCTGGCTCAGGTGTCAGAGGAGCCCGCACCCCAGAAACACCGATGAGCAAGAACAAGAGGCTCAAGGGAAGCCAGCTCCCAGAGCCCCAGGACCAGGGGGAGCCCCAGGACCAGGGGGAGCCCCAGAACTGCAGGAGCCCCAGGACCAGGGAGCCCCAGGACCAGGGGGAGCCCCAGGATCAGGGGGAGCCCCAGAACTGCAGGAGCCCCAGGACCAGGGGGAGCCCCAGGACCAGGGGGAGCCCCAGGATCAGGGGGAGCCCCAGGACCAGGGGGAGCCCCAGGATCAGGGGGAGCCCCAGAACTGCAGGAGCCCCAGGACCAGGGAGCCCCAGGACCAGGGAGAGCCCCAGGACCAGGGAGCCCCAGGACCAGGGAGCCCCAGGACCAGGGGGAGCCCCAGGACCAGGGGGAGCCCCAGAACTGCAGGAGCCCCAGGACCAGGGAGCCCCAGGACCAGGGAGCCCCAGGACCAGGGGGAGCCCCAGGATCAGGGGGAGCCCCAGGATCAGGGGGAACCCCAGGACCAGGGGGAGCCCCAGGATCAGGGGGAGCCCCAGAACTGCAGGAGCCCCAGGACCAGGGGGAGCCCCAGAACTGCAGGAGCCCCAGGACCAGGGGGAGCCCCAGGACCAGGGGGAGCCCCAGGATCAGGGGGAGCCCCAGGACCAGGGGGAGCCCCAGGATCAGGGGGAGCCCCAGAACTGCAGGAGCCCCAGGACCAGGGAGCTCCAGGACCAGGGAGCCCCAGGACCAGGGGGAGCCCCAGGACCAGGGGGAGCCCCAGAACTGCAGGAGCCCCAGGACCAGGGAGCCCCAGGACCAGGGAGCCCCAGGACCAGGGGGAGCCCCAGGATCAGGGGGAGCCCCAGGATCAGGGGGAACCCCAGGACCAGGGGAGCCCCAGGACCAGGGAGCCCCAGGACCAGGGGGAGCCCCAGGACCACGGGAGCCCCGGGACCAGGGGGAGCCCCAGGACCAGCAGGAGCCACCTGCCCTCTTCCGCTCCTACCAGTTGGCTGTGTCCTGCCCTGCACCAGGGACAGCACCCTTCTGGGGAGAGGATATGGGTTTCCACCAAGGAGGCCAGCTAGAACCAAGATAGCAACCGGCCAAGTCCCTCATCCAGTAAGCACTGCCCAGGACTGGGGCAGCCCTCTGAGGCCCCAGCTGGTGGCAGGGTCTGTTAAGGCCAACTGTGGTTTCTTCACAGTGGCAGCCCTGCAAGTGGGCGAGCTCTCCTGGAGGGCTGAGGCGCTGTGGTCAGCACAAAGACCTTGCGAAACAGCTGGCTGTGTGGACTACACAGGAAGCAAAAGGAGCCGGGCGGGAGCATGTGCACCACACAACGCCAAGTTGAGAAGGGTAAGGGGTCAGCGGCAGCGAGCAGGGGCAAGGCTCCTGGATCTGGACCCCCACGGTTGCACCTGCATTTGGAAGACTTCCCGTGGGGGTCATTTTCACTTCATTGGGGCAGACAGTCTGTGACACAGCCACCCAGGGACCCTCACCAGTCTCTGTGAAGGTGGGGGCACTGGGGTGCAGGTCGGGGGGCCCCAGCAGGCTGGCCAGCTCTCCTTCCAGAGCGCTAGGGTGCAGCTTGGCGTCCCCCGAGGATTTCTCTGGAGGCCCTGGCGAGCTGGCCAGCTCTCCTTCCAGGGTGCTGGGGTGCAGCTTGGCGTCCCCCGAGGATGTCTCCAGAGGCCCCGGCGAGCTGGCCAGCTCTCCTTCCAGGGCGCTGAGCTTGTGCTTCAAGTTCTGCACTTCTGCTGCCAAGGCCAGAACGTAACCTGCCCAAAACACCAGCAAACGTCCTCTGCTCCCTCCTGCCCACTAGGGCCTTCTCTCCCCTCCTCCCCCAGAGTGCACGTGGAGAGACCCGCCCAGCCTCCACGTCCTCTGAGCAGGGATCAGAGACGGGGACAGATTCTACCGGCCTTTTCCCACAGGCCTCTGTGACAACAGGAAACAGTCCCTACCTCAGGCACTGGTCACACAGCTGCTCTGGTGCCCACTATGAGCCCGGCCCGGGAGGGGCCACCATCTCAGCCCCACCACAGGGTACTTCTCGGGAGCAGGGCCCTGCCAGGTGGCTCCCACTGCCAGCTACTCGGGACGGCACAGCGTCCTGCCTGGCCCAGCCTGTTCCAGCTTCTAAGTGCATCAGGCATGCACCCTGTACATTTCCCTCCCCTTCACCAAGAAAAAGACTTAAACACAAAGCTCAGGACCGTCTCTTGGGGGAACAGCAGCCTTCCAGCTTTGGAATGATTTGTTGAAGGGCACGTAAACTTAAACAAGACTCGGACACGAACCATCCAAGGCGACCCAGTGGGCAAGTCTAACCCTCCCCACCTCCACTCACGAGGAGGGGCCGTGTCCCCCGCAGCCTCAGCCTCGGGCAGGTGTGTGCATGCGTTCTCTCCCGACTGTGCAGAAGGAAGAGTCTCCCCACTCAGCGCCTCCATTTCCCTCCTCATCTGAGCGACAGCATTCCGCAAGCTCGTGTTCTGGTCTTGCAGCCGCTGGATTTCACTGGATGGAAAAGCCGAACTGATTTCCCCTCTGTGCTGCCTTGGGAACTGTCAAACACACACAAGAGAAAAGTGGGGCGCGGCGACTGCACTGGGACCCAGAGGCTCATGAGGCCAAGGCAGGAGGAACACAAGTTCAAGGGTAGCCTGGGCACCTTGGAAAGACCCTGTCTCAAAATAAAGAACTAAAAGGGCTTGTGGAGCACCCCTGGGTTGAACTCCCAGCATCACAAAGCAACAAACAAAAACAGAAAGAAAAAAACCAAATTAAATAAAATTTTAAAAAGGGCTGGGGATAGCTGGGTGGAGTGGCACACACCTGTAATCCCAGTAACTCAGGAGGCTGAGCAGGAGGACCCCAAGTTCAAGGCCAGCTCGGGCAATTTAGCAAAACCCTGTCTCAAGATAAAAACTAGTAACTGGAATCATTCCTTCTCTTTGCTTCCCAGAACAGGGTTTCACTGTTTCTCCTAATTTCTTTCCCTTCTTGCATTACCTGCCCCTGTCTCAAATCACCCCCAAATGTTCTTCTTTTTCATCTTAGTTTGTATTTTTTTTTCTCTCTTCCGCCTTTGAATTCCTATGTAGTTAAATAGTATTTTGTAATCTTTAATAATCAATTTCTCGATCTATTCAAAAACGTTGCTCCAGTTTTATGCTTGGATTGGAGGAAGTCCAGGGAACACCCTCAGTACCTCTCCCCCTGAGGTTAGCTAGTATCTGGCTCCTCCCTGAAGTGACTGCAGTTGGTCTGGGTCAGCAGCAGAGGCACATGCTCAGTGGGAGTGTCACATTCACACAGCCTGGGCTCCTAAGAAGGGGGTCACTAGTGTCCCCTCCCCTAAGAAGAGGTAATCGTCCCCACAGACGGGAAGACACACAAACAAGGGAATGGGCCACCCGAGAGAGCTCACAACACTTCAACCGCTGTGTCCATAAGCACCACCGTGGAGGAAGTTCTGGTAGAATGTTCTATAAGCTAAAAGAAGATTAAGAAATGAAACTAGAGAGAAAATGCAGGAAATGAAAGAACATTTCTTTTTCAAAGAGATTCTGAAAAAGAACCAGAGAAATACTGGAAATGAGAGATTCAATAAAACAAATTTAAAATTCAGTTGGAAGCATCACCCATAGATTAGACCACGCTGAAAACAGACTCTCAGGGCTGGGGCTACAGCTCAGCGGCAGAGCACTTCCCTAGCAGGTGTGAGGCCCTGGGTTCCATTCTCAGCACCACAAATAAATAAATAAATAAATAAATAAATAAATAAAAGTAAAGGTTCATCGACAACTAAAAAATAATCTGAAAAAAAATAACTAAAGAAAAAAGAAAGAAAACAGGGGCTGGGATGGGGCTCAGGCGGTAGCGCACTCCCTGGCAGGCGGGCGGCCCGGGTTCAACCCTCGGCACCACGTACAGACAGAGATGCTGTGTCCGCCGAGAACTAAAAATAAATATTAAAAAAAATTCTCTCTCTCTCTCCCCCCCCCTCCTCTTTCTTAAGAAAAAAAAAAAAAAAGAAAGAAAACAGATTCTCAGATTCTCAGACCTCAAAGACAAAGAATATAAACTTGATAATTAGGTCAACAAGTAAAGAAAAGATGTTAGGAAATCACGACTAGAATAGTCAAAGAAATATGGGATAACTTAAGAGGCCAAATATAAGAATCACTGGTGTAGAAGAAGGCACTTGATTAAAACCAAAGGAATGCACAATTTTTTTTTCCTCGAGCTTCTTCTCTTTTATTTAAGTTTTTTTTTTTTTTTGTTTTATTAGTTGTTCAAAACATTACAAAGCTCATGACATATCATACATTTTATTCAAGTGGGTTATGAACTCCCATTTTTACCCCAAATACAAATTGATGCACAAATTTTTTAATGAAATAATATCAGAAAAATCTCCAACCCTTATAACAATGAAAATCCAAATATAGGAGGCATTTAGAACCCAAATAGATAAGATCAAAAAAGATCCTCTCCAACACACATTATAATGACGGTACCTAAACAGAACGAGGGTAGAATTCTAAGTCGCAGGAGAAAAATGAAGGTCACATTTACAGATAAGCCAATTAAACTTGCTGTTGTTCTCTCAGCCAGACTGTAAAAGCCAGAAGTGCTTGGACTCACGTGCACCAAGCCCTGATAAATCACAGGTGCAGACAAGACTGCAGTATCCATCGAAGCTACCCTTCAGAACTCAAGTTGAAATAAAAATCTTCCGTGACAAGCAGAAACTAGAAAGAAATTCATGACCACTAAGCCTGCACTACAGAACGAGCTCAATGAAGAATCTCATACAGATGAAATAAACACCAGAGCCAGTGAATGCATGAGTCCCACTGGAATAATATCAATCAGGGGAGAATCCTCTCTTAATTAAGCATTAGAAATAAGTTGAAACGGCAGGAAATAAAAATCATCTCTCTATAGTAACACAGAATGTAAATGGTCTAAACTAAAAGACATAGATTGGCACACAGGATTAAAAAACAAGACCCGACCATGTGTTGTTGACAGAGACTCACCTTTCAGGCAAAAACATCCATAGGCCAAATGTGAAGAAGAGAAAAAGATATGTACCATGCAAATGGAGACTGAAAGCAAGCAGAGATGACTACTCTTATCTCAGACAAGGTAGACCAAGAAACAAAGGCCACCCATACTGGGCAAGGCATCATCCAACCGCAGGATACGACGACTGCAGATGTCTGCACCACGACTGTCAGTGTATCTGCACACAAGAGTCACACAGACCACAACCGGACAACACTGGGCGAGTCCAGCAACGCTCTTACCAGTAGATAGGTGATCCAGACATGAACTAACCAAGGCTCTCAGGAATGAAAATATCATTAATCAAGTGAAACTAACAGGCATCTATGGAATATTTCATCCATCAACAACCAAATTTACTTTCTTCCCACTAACAAGGAATTTTCTCTAAAATAAACCATATTTTAGGGCACAAAGCAAGTCTAAGAAAATATTAAAAAATAGAGATAATTTCTTACATCCTATCAGCTCATAATAGGATAAAATTAGAAATCAATAACAAGATAAAAAACAGAAACCATTTTTCAAAAACTTTTTTTAGTTGTAGATGGACACAATATCTTTGTTTTTATTTATTTATTTTTATGTGGTGCTGAGGATCCAGCCCAGGGCCTCACACATGCAAGGCAGGTGCTCTGGGCTACAACCCCAGCCCAAACAGACACCATTTTAACATGTGGAGATTGAATAATATGCTTTCCAATGAGGAATGGGTCCTGTAAGAAATCAAAGGAGAAATTTAAAAAATTCTCAGAAACAAGTGAGAACAGAGACATAATGTATCAAAATCTCTGAAACCCCATGAAGGCAGTTAAAGAGGAAAATTTACAGCATTGAGTTCCTACATACAAAAAGAAAAGCCCCCAAGAGCTGGGCGGGGCTCAGGGGCAGAGCACTCGCCTGGCAGGTGTGAGGCACTGGGTTTGATTCTCAGCACCGCATATAAATGAATGAACAAAATAAAGGCCCAGCAATGTCTAAAAAATATTAAAAAAAAAGAAAGATCCCAAATAAATACTCTCAAAGTCCCCAAAAAAGCAAGAACCAACTAATTCTAAAATCTGTAGAAGACAGAAAATAACTAAGATCAGAGTTGAAATTAATGAAACTGGGATAAAATAAATAAAATAAAAAGGGGGCTGGGGATGTGGCTCAAGCGGTAGCGCGCTCGCCTGGCATGCGGGCAGCCCGGGTTCGACCCTCGGCACCACATACAGACAAAGATGCTGTGTCCGCCGAAAACTAAAAAATAAATATTTTTAAAAAATTAAAAAATAAAATACAATAAAAAGGATCAGTGCAATGAAGAGTTGGTTCTTTGAAAAGATATATTAAGTTAATAAACTTTTTAAAAATTTTTTTGTGGTGCTGGGGATTGAACCCAGGGCCTGTGTATGTGAGGCCAGCCCTCTGCCAACTGAGCTGTGTCCCAGCCCAAGATGATGAACCTTTACCCAAACCGAACAAAGGAAAGACAAAGAAGAGCCATTTGTGATCAATGTGTCAAAATACATTCTGCTGTCAGGTAGAACTAATTAGAGCAAATTAAAAAAATAAGACCTAAATCAACAAAATCAGAGATGAAAGAGGCTATATCACCACAGACACTTCTGAAATCCAGAGGGTCGTGAGGAAAGCTCAAACTCCAATAAATGGGAGAATCTAAACAAATCATGGACGATTTTCTAGACACACATTATCTGTCCAAATTGAACCAGGAAGATATAGAAAACCTAAACTGAACAATACCAAGCAATACCATTGACATAGTAATTAAAAGCCTTCTAACAATGAAAAGCCCCAAACCAGATGGATTCTCAGTGGAATTCTACTCAGTCTTTAAAGAACTAACCTCAAATTATTCTATGAAATAGAAAGGGAGGGAACACTCCCAAATGCATTCCATAAAGCCAATATCACCCTGGAACCAAAACCAGACAAAGACACATATCAAAGAAAGAAAACTCCAGACTGCCCTCCCTGATAAACAGAGGCAAAAATCCTCAATGACATACTAGGAAACAGCGCTGCGGCTGCGCTCAGTGGGAGAGCATTTGCCTCACTCATGTGAGGCACTGGGTTCAATCCTCAGCACCACAGAAAATAGGTGAATAAGAGCATCCTGCTCATCTACAACTAAAGCAAAATATTTAAAAAATATTAGCAAACTACATTCAAGCACATATTAAAAAAAAAAAAAAACAGTATACCATGAACAAGCAGATTTCATCCCGGGGATTGGCTCAACATATGAAAGTCAGTAAGTGTGATTCACCACACAAATAGAAATAAAAATAAAAACATGATTATCTCAATAGATGCAGAAAACACATTCAACAAAATGTAGCATCTTTCATATTAAAAAAACACCAGAGACGCTAGGGACAGAAGCAACATCATAGTGAGAGGGGAAAACTGAAAGTGTTTCCTCTAAAATCAGGAACAGGACAAGGATGTCCACTCTTGCCACTCGTATTCAATACAGTTC